CTTTCAACATTTTCAGTGTTAAACTTTTTCTAAAAACTTTGTTTTGTCTGTAAATACATTTTCCCAATTTTAGCAATTTGTTACCAGTTCCCCAAAAAATAGACATTAAAATTTCCAGGGCATAATTTAAACAAAGAACTCAAATTGGTTTTGCTAGGAACCCTTAATTTGACAAGTTTAACACAAGTGTTAAGATTTATGTTGTTGGTTTTTCTATCCAAGACTTATATTATTGTTTTTTTTTCTGTCAGAGACTTATTTGATTCAATTTTTCTTTCCAAGACTTATTTATTCGATTTTCTATCTAACACTTATTTTATTGGTTTTTTTTCTATCCGAGACTTATTTAATTTGATTTTTCTATCCTCGATTTTCTATCCAAGACTTATTTTATTGGATTTTCCATACCAGACTGATTTAATTGGATTTTCTATCAAAGAATTGTATTATTGGATTCTTAATTATTCTTCTTGGTAATATTGTTAATCATTGCATTTTTATTCCTGTAATCATTTGTATGATAACTTGGTTACATCTTCTAATGTTTACAGTCCGATGTCCAGCTGGCACGCAGTCTAACGGAGAATTTTGCTCAATATGCCCAAAAGGTACATACAGGAACTATGCAGATGCTTCATGCATTCAATGTCCGACTGGTTATACAACAAGATATCCCGGTGCCATAAATAGTGGATCGTGTATCGGTAAGTACTGCTTATATTCTGCCATTTTCAATTTTTAAGCGGGAAACACATTGTTTTTATGGGCTATTTAAACTTTATATAAGTTCTAACACGTGTTTTCAACTTGACTTTAACTCAACAAATGTTTACTCACCTTGGAAAGGGTGACACGGTATAAAGATTTTGCTTGGAACTTCATATATTATAAACCACAGGAATGTTTCCTTGAAATTTCATGAATATCTTCTAGGTAATAATTTTAAGTCTTTAACTATTTCCTATAACTGTAGCAAGAGATTAAATCTTCACAGAGTTGCCCTCCTTTGTGAAATATATAAATTCCTAACAAGGGTTTTGAATGTAAGTTCTAGGTCTACAATAATAAAAATATTAAATAAAAACTTCATGCATGTCTTGACTATCATAAATGGAGAACCAACACCCATAACTCTGCCCTGAACCGGTATGTTTACTGAATTATTCCCCTTTCTTAACTTTTTAAATTCCTATGAATTGGTTATCATTTTTTGAATCAAACCATTTGCATTTCATTGATTTAGATTTTAAACATAATCATCAAGTACTTATTTTATAAAATGCCTATTATTTTTAAAACAGCCCCTTGTACTGGACAAATTTCTACAACTGGATTCAGTCCCTGTTTAACTTGCCAGAAAGGTAGCTACAGATCTGACAGTTTGACATGTCAGTCTTGTGGATTTGGGCAGACGACAAATGGAGATGGCGCCACTAGCATAGATGCTTGTGTATCTAGTACTATCGATGATGGTAAATATTTTGTATACATTTTTCTTTTCCAATGATGTTCTTAATACCTAAAAAAGAATGTTTTTATTCTATGTCAGTTTTACATATTTCTGTATATATTTATATATAGCAATGAATTATATTTTGTTTTATTTTGCTGGAAAAGGAGATGAAGTTTTGATGTGACATCACATTTGTATGTTTTTTGTTATAATTCTGAAGAAACTAGGGACAGCTATAGGTATAAATCAAAGATAAAAGGCATGTGTAGTTATTACGAAATCCATGTTTTGAGACAACAACATTTGGATTAGGGTATAAAGATTGAGAAAACTTGCCCATTTAGCTTAGTAATGGATCCGTGGCCAAGTAGTTAAGGTCATTGACTTTAAACCACTTGCCCCTCTGATCGCTGTGAGTTAGAATCCAGAAAGGGACTTTGGTGTCTGTCATGTGAGGAAGCTATCCAGCTAGCTTATGGAATGTTGGCAGTTCTATTCAGGTGCCCGTTTGTGCCGGAAATAATGCACTGAGGGGTACCTGAGGTCTTCCTCCTACAGTTAAACTGTAAAAGTAAACATATGATCTATACTGTGTTGGTGTGATGTAAAACCCAACCAAAAAAGAAAGGGCTCAGTTATGAGTTCTTTAGGGCTATGTTTGTCAGTTTTATGTGAATAAACCAAGGAAGGGTGAATGTCTCCATGCCAGTTTGATGGACAAACTTCAGTACATCTAATGGAATTCATCTATTATATCTGTTTGAAATGATTTATGTGGAGTAGTTGGCAGTTAATTTCAGAAAAACAGTTGAGTATTATTGGTACAAAATCCGTGAGCACTTGTTAGACAATTACCCATAGGAATAAAACTCCAATACTGTTCAACTGAAAGGTAACACCAAAAAATGTAAATCAAGTATTTTAACATAATTTTGATACGTTACTTGTAGCTACTTTGATTTCAATTTTTGCAGTACCATGCACAATAGGGACTCAGCTGAATGGCAACACCTGTGAACCATGTCAAATAGGTACATACAGAAGTGTGAACACATTATCCAACACCTGTGTAGCTTGTCCAGTAGCTGGGACAAGCACTTATATTAGAGGAGCAACATCAAGCCGTCAATGCTATGGTAAGTGTCTAATATAGATAATTTTACCTGTTGGTAAAAAAAGCTCAAGGTAAGTGTGTTAAGGACAGAATTTGTATGCTGTTAAGAAAGTGCTTTTGAAAGTGTGTAGAGAAGACCATTTTGGGTGTACTTGGTTAGTGTCTAAAGTAGAAAATAAAAGTGTTGGTTAGATTTATTAAATTTATGTTAACCCATTACGCCATATACACACCTTTTAACGCCTTTTTCACGCCCCCTTTCTTGTTGTCTCAAATGGTGAAAAAATGCCTTATTTAGGCCCCCAACACTTGTTTTTGTTTGAGAAATGTTGTTAAAAAAAGTGCCCACTTTTTCGGCGCAGGCCCCCGGACTTGTGAGAGGCTAAAAATGACCCCAGATCTATCATAAGGTAACGTTTAACCAACGCTGAAAGGATTTGACTCTATCTCAATCCATTGAGAAGTTGCAGCACTTTGAAATCAATTTTGATGGAAAAAATCAACGCAAAATAGTGATTTTTGGCAATTTTGAGATGTCCCCTCATTGCCATGGTAACAGAAAATTTAAGCCTGAGCATGTTGTTGCAAAGGCAATTGTCCAGTCAACATTTGTGCCAAGTTTGATTAGTATTGAATCATTTTTTATAGTTTTATAGCAATTTGAACTTGTAACGGAAGACTTTTCAATGAAAACAGCCATTTTTCACAAAATGCTCATGAAGTAATGGGTTAAAGAAGATGAATTAAGATAGTAAATTGCACTTGGAAGAGTGGTCATATGCTAATCAGTTGTACGTACTGTAACGCCCCTTTCATTCTTAGGGGTGTGGAAGTGGGAATTTCTACTTAGAAGTTTAAGTAAACTTGTGAGTTTACTGTACTGATATATTTCTTTTCTCTATATTTTCAGCAACATGTAGACAAGGGTCTACATCTTCAACAGGTTTAGCTCCATGTACAGCCTGTCCTATTGGTCAGTATTCTGTAAGTCCAACTAAATGTGAAACCTGTCCATCAGGTTTTACTACAACATATGCCGGGCAGTATCCTTGTGTCGAGATAAGTTCATCAAGAAGTGAGTAGCATTTAACGAATATTAAAAAAAACAGGAAAAAAAAAAACTAGTAGGTGTAGTCCTGAAATAATGTACAAAGGGGCACCGGAAGTCTTCCTCCATTTTTAAAGCTAATGTACAGAGGGGCACCTGAGAGGCACATGAGGGACACCTGAGGTCTTCCTCCATTATTAAAGCTGGAAAGTTGCCATATGACTTGTATACTAAATTGTTGGTGAAACATTTAACCCAATAAAGAATGAAAGAAAAAAAATAAATTTATAAACCTATGGGGCTATTCTGACATTCAAATGTGTGCCTCATATATAAGTATCTGTACTGAAATAATTTTTTTCTGTTTAACTAGCATTTATTTTCCTTTAGTTAATTAACAGTACAAATATTGTATACATCCCAGAAATACTTAATCTTTTACTTGAAATTGTGTGCTTAAAATAGCTTCCGCTTTTGGTACTCTGAAAGGGGTATGTCTACTTACAGGCTTGGTACAATAATTTACAAAATGTATGAAGTTTCCTCCGCTTATAAAACTAGAAAAAAAATTAATATGAACTGTCAGTGAGGTACCTCAAGAGATATAAATAACCAGTGTGTAAACTGTCCTGAGGGAAAATTGTAATAATATTATAAATCTCTTGATGTTATAGTAAAGTGCCCGAGAGGTACCTCAAGAGATGTAAATAGCTAGTGTGTAAACTGTCCAGAGGGAAATATATAATAATATTATAAATCTCTTGATTTTAGTAAAGTACCAGAGAGGTACCTCAAGAGATGTAAATAGCTAGTGTGTAAAATGTCCTGAGGGAAATATGTAATACTGTTGTAAATCTCTTGATTTTAGTAAAGTGCCCAAGAGGTACCTCAAGAGATATAAATAGCCAGTGTGTAAACTGTGCTGAGGGAACATACAACTCAAATGAGGAAGGGTCTTGTACCTCCTGTCCTGCTACAGATACAACTTTCTTTGCTGGTGCTACAGCAAGAACAATGTGCAGATGTAAGTACATTTATAGTAGTCTGAATAAAGTTGCATGAAATTTTTTATTATGAATTATATCCTGTAGAAATATTAAGGGACATCTAGGAGAAAGTGGTCATTGTCTCGTATTACCTTCCACTTCACAAGAATGGATATAAATTATACCACATAAGGCCTAAAATAAATTGTGTTGTTAGGGTAACATGCTGTCCAAGAATAGGTAGGGTAAGTCAATTTTTTTTATTTTTTTTTAAATCATGTTCAATTCTGAACAGTACAATCCAGAGAAAATGCTCATTCCCTGATTGTACGGTATGTAAAAACTGGCTCATTTTCATAAGGGATTTACTATTCATTATATTCAATTATGCCTTAACAATGAATCATCCGATGTCCCGCCATGGCACAAGAACGTGATTTCTAAACACACTTTAATTTTGCAATTTTTTTTTTTTTAACAGATCTAAATAAAAATGGTAGGGCCAGGCATATTTTTTTAGGCAGGGTAGTGTTACGCTAACAAAAACATTTTTTTTAAGGCCTAACCTGTCAAATTGATATCTTTTTTGTCAAAATTGAAAATTATTTGAACTTTGCATCAGCCAAGTATATACTGGTAATGTAAATGTTATGATTGACAAATGAAAATTGATGTAACATCATGCAGTATTATAATGATGGTTGTTCTGCTCAGTTGAGATCACCTTTGACGTATTTCCATTTGAAAAGATTCAATGTAACCAAGTCGTAAAGGTTGCTGACTCGAAATTATTTATCAAAGTCAACAATGTGATGTATCAATACTGTACTGTCTTATTTTATATTTATCCTACTTTCCAACAATGATATATATTTATACATAAGAATTTTTTTAATCAGCCAAGTGCCCGCCAGGATTCTACTCGAGCACCGGGAAGGCACCGTGTACTCCTTGTGGTATCGGCAGGTATTCATCAACATTCGGAGCCACAGATTGTACGCCTTGCAGTATAAGTAATGATATGATAACCGCCACAACAACATCAACTTCTGATTCACAATGCATAAGTAAGTATAAGTAACATCTTTGTATTGTAAAGCTGTAAAAATTCAAAATATTTATATATAGTAAATAAGAACCAGCAGAATTTCAAGACAGTGACATTCCTTTTATAGAGTGTAGCGGACATGAGTATTTTTAGTAAACTGGAGAATGTGACATTCCTTTTATAGAAGATATATATATTGATTTTGAATTGATATATATGAAATGTGACATTTTGGTCCTAGGTCTAGCTATTCAAAGTGAAATGTGTGCTATTGTTCTCTTCCTCCCCCAATCTCCAAAATTCCTGGAGGTGATGGGTTGTTATCTCTGATTCTCTAATATATAGGCAAAGGTTCCATAACTCTGAATTACTTTTTTTCTTCAGAGTAATGCCCCTTTTTTCAACTGAAAAGCAATGACAATAGTCAAGCATACTATTTTAAGGACAGCTCTTGCTATATGAGAGGTTACTTTGTGCGATGATACAAAAAAAAAACCCATCTTTTATAACTGCCCTGTATTTGTTACTGTTTAATGACTTCTTATTTTCTTCTATTTTTTTTTTCTTTAGGAAAATGTGATGAAGGATATTTCTCATTTAATGGCTATAATCAGAATGGAGCATGTAGGCAGTGTCCCCGGAATCACTATCAATCCCAGACAGGGCAAGATAGTTGTATTCAATGTACACCAAGTTCCACGTACTCTACAGAAACTGGTTTGACTTCATCTACCCAATGTCTTGCCGCTGGTAAGTACTGGATGAGTGATCTGCTGAATTTATTGAAAGGACTTGTCAATTACATCTATTGATTTGAAGAATTGTCATCTTGAGTATTTTTAAAATTTGCTGAGTCAGCAGTATTATAGACTTGTTTAACTACATGGATATTATTTCAGCAAGGTTATTAACTAGCTGCTGAGGCTTTGCTATATTTGACAGGCATGTATACACTTTGGGAGCTTAGGAGGAGCAGAAGTTGAAAAAGTATAGTGGAGCTTTGGCCTGTTTGTAAAAATGCCTCTCAGCCCAGGGATTATGGGTTTGAGCCCGAATCAGATCATGGTCGTGTCAGGTCATATGATACTGTTTAGAACCATGAAGCCCACTGGAATGAAGTTTAAATAAGCTGTAAATTTTCTGTGTAATGATGTATTGAAATTGATATTGTCAAATAAGCTACACATTTTCTGCACAATCAGATATTGAACTAAATATTGTCTAAATTAATTCACTATGAAGTAGTAAATGCCAAAAAAATTATTAATGATAACATTAGTAATGTCTTAAAGATAGTCAGAATTGGACAAATGCACAATTGCTTCAATGATTGTGTATATTACAGGTACCCTATGTAATAACTACTGCTCCAATGGAGGTAACTGTGTCATTAGAAACAATGAACCAGTATGTGATTGCACACCAGGTAAACAATTTTATTGTTATAATCATATTTGTAGAATATTTTGTCGAGGTAACATTTAGAGTTGAAAGGAGAGTGTTTGGAGCAAAGTTTCTACATGAATTGAGAGATTTTAATATTTATAAGTTTACACAAATGTTCACCATTGTTGTCCAGTGTATTGTGCGCAAAATTCACTATGGTCAAGATCAAGATTGCAATTAGAGCGTAAAAGTTTGATAGAAATATAAAAATGTGTGTACTGAAAGTTTGGTAGTGTTACATTTTATAGAAATGTTCACAGTCGTGAAACTGGGTCTTCCAAGCAAAGTCAAATAAATATATGCAAGGTCACTGACCCGAGGCATGAAGAAATGAGCAGGTTTTGTCAGGATCATATCTTTAACTTTGATGGATTGATTTCATTTGAACTTGATACAAATGATCACCACCATGAGACATAGTGTCCACCCATGAACCAGGCCTCTTAGGTTAAAAGACAAGGTCAAATTCAGAGGTCAGACAAAAAAAGTTATCCAAAGCAAAACTTCTGTATGCATTGAGAGTTAGTTTTAGATCACCTGTCACAAAGTGACAGGGTGAGCTTTTGTGATCACTTTTCGTCGGGCGTCCGTTCGTCGTCCGTCCGTCCGTAAACTTTTACTTTAAATGACATCTCCTCATAAACCACTAAGCCAATTTCATCCAAACTTCACAGGAATGTTCCTTTGGTGGTCACCTTTAAAAATTGTTCAAAGAATTAAATTCCATGCAGAAAGAAAATACTTTAAATATCTTTTTTTAAAAAAACCCAAAGAGCTAGAGCTTAGATCTTTGGCATGAAACATCTTCTAATGAGTGTCTACCAAGTTTTTTAAATAAATGCCCTGGGGTCAAAATTGGCCCCGCCCCAGGGGGTCATTGATTTTCCCTATATGCATATAGTAAAAACTTGAAAAATCTTCTTTAAAAGAACCCATAGAGCTAGAGCTTAGATATTTAGCATGAAACATCTTCTAATAAGTGTCTACCAAGTTTGTTCAAATAAAAGCCCTGGGGGCAAAATTGGCCCCCGCCCCAGGGGGTCATTGATTTTCCCTTTATGCATATAGTTAAAACTTAAAAAATCTTCTTTTAAGGAAGCCAAAGAGCTAGAGCTTAGATATTTAGCATGAAAAATGTTCTAATGCCCGGTGTATACCAAGTTTGTTCAAATAAAAGCCCTAGGGTCAAAATTTGCCCCGCCCCGGGGTCATTAATTTTCCTTATATGTGTATAGCAAAAACTTAAAAAAATTTCTTTGAAAAAACCCAAATAGCTAGAGTTTAGATATTAAGCATGAACATCTTCTAGTGAGTGTCTACAAAGTTTGTTCAAATAAAAGCCCTAGGGTTAAAATTGGCCCGGCCCCGGGGGTCATTGATTTTCCTTATATATGTAAGGCAAAAACTTAAAAATCTTCTTTGAAAACTTTGAAAACTGGCTACGCCCTAGAGGTGTCATTGTTTTTAACTTTATGCATATAGAAAAAACTTAAAAAATCTTCTTTTACAAAACCCAATGAGCTAGAGGTTAGATTTTAAGCAGGAAACATCTTTTTGTTGGTGTTTACCAAGTTTGTTCAAATAAAAGCACTTGGGTTAAAATTGGCTCTGCAAAAAGTGGGGGGGGGGGGCAGAGATCATTGTTTTTCATTATATGTGCGTAGTAAAAACTTAACTTCATTAAACATCTTCTAATGGGTGTCTTCCAAGTTTGTTCAAATATAAGCCCTGGGGTTTAAACTGGCCCTGCTCTGGGGGCCTATATACAGGTGAGCGATCTCAGGGCCATCATGGCCCTCTTGTTTCATGTAACTTTTCACAATTTTTCCAAATTGTGAAACATAGTTTTATGTGAAAAAAATTAGGTCCACCTGCTAATGTCAAGGTCATATGATAAAGTCCAAGGTTGGTTGAGAAAGTGAAAAAGAGAGGTATTGTCATAAGTGGTGGGATTTTAATTTAATCCTTATGAGAATATGACACTATTGTTCCAATTGACAATTTGCTGGAAAAACTTAGTACCTCAATATCCATAATGACAATGGACAAGAAAGAAAATACATACATTGGGTATCAATGTCTGACATCTGTTTTGGTTCATTTATGATAATGATCGTAAGCAGGGAAATTTTGTATCATTTTATATTTTATCATGCAACTGCTATGGTAACTGCCCGATAACACTTGCCTGATAATTATTTTTGATATCAGGTCAGTAACCTGATATCAAAAATAAGCCCCGCCCATTTTAACGGACTTTTTATCAATTGCTTATATTCTCATTTTCATCAGCATGTGAGTTCTTCAATGTAATCTCATACCCTTACAAGTCTTGAATCAAGATGTGATATTTATTTATTTATTATTTCGATTTCAATTACGAATAAATTAGATAGCGAATAGTTTTAGCACCAACTAAATGAAGTGACGTCATAATTTATATTGCAAATGACATCATCGATGTTCACGTCATACTATACATGTAATCATAACAAACAGGCTAGACGATTTTCTTTGAGAACTTGTAAATGTTTACTTTATTTCGCCGGATTATTATTTCATAAATGAACACATTGTTTCGTTTGAAAAATAAGATGCATGATTGTGTACAGTAGCTTGTGTTTGATTGCCGATTTGAATTTTCTTTGATTGAAATTATCGTGAACTTTTGAATTTGACAATTCAAGACAAAAGTTGCAGTAAATATAAGTTTATGTGATTCTTAGTGAATTTTTGGATTGACGTTTAAATGTTTAAATTAAAGGTAAGAATTTTATTGTATTAGGCCTACATTCTGTGTATCTTTTATCCGAGTCGAAAGAAAAAATGGCCGCCATAACAAATTCTAAGTTTCAGGGGCGGAAGAATTTGTTTTTCAAGAATTATTTCTTTGAACAAAATCCCCCTTTTTACGAAATTCGCTATTTAAAAGTAGATTATTTTGTTATTTTCACAGTTATTATGTGTTACATAATAAATAGAAAAACATGCTACTGTCTTTTGATATCAATTTTATCAGGCTCGGCTGATATGGGCAGAAAGGGCTCGGCAAGCCTCGCCCTTTCTAGCCCATATCAGCCTCGCCTGATAAAATTGATATCAAAAGACAGTAGCATGTTATTCTCTATTTCTTTAGTTTATTTTAGTCAAAACTTTAGCTAAATAATTGTGTACTTATGTAAACAAATTACTTACAAACTATATCTTGTTGTGGTTTTGTGGCCTATAAAGCCATTAAGATATTGAAGTGTATTGTGACAAGAATGACTTTTCAGCTTGAAATTTTGTTTCTTTTTATCTTAAACAGGACAATACTTTGGAACAAGATGTTCGACTCAAGTTGATCACTGTAGATCAAATCCTTGTTATAACAACGGACTTTGTTCAAGCACTGCTGCTGGTTACACTTGTGATTGTAGAGGTTAGTGTCATCTTTTATAAAATACCTACACTTGTGATTTTAGAGATCAGTGTTGCTTTTTATCACATACCTACATTTGTGACTGCAGAGGTTAGTGTCACCTTTTATCACATACTAACACTTGTGATTGTAGAGGTTAGTGTCACTTTTTATCACATACTTACATTTGTGATTGCAGAGGTTAGTGTCATCTTTTATCACATACTAATACTTTGTGATTGTAGAGGTTAGGGACATAATACAAACCTGTAATTGTAGAGGTTAGTGTCACCTTTTATGACATACCTACACATGTGATTATAGAGGTTAGTATCACCTTTTATGACATACTTGTGATTGTAGAGGTTAGTGTCACCTTTTATCACAGACCTACACTTGTGATTGTAGAGGTTAGTGTCACCTTTTATTACAGATCTACACTTAGGATTGTAGAGGTTAGTGTCACCTTTTATCACAGACCTACACTTGTGATTGTAGAGGTTAGTATCACCTTTCACGGCAAACCTGTGATTGTAGAGGTTAGTATCACCTTTCACGGCAAACCTGTGATTGTAGAGGTTAGTATCACCTTTAATCACATACCTTCACTTGTAATTGTAGATGTTATCACATACCTTCACTTGTGATTGTAGAGGTTAGTGTCACCTTTTTAGTTTTTATCACAAATCAGTGCATATATTTGATGTTATTTCATTTGTACCATACAAACATAGCACTAACACTATACAAACAATGCATTTTCAAAGACATGCTAAATGTAGGTGTTACGCTTTAAGCATGTTAATGAAAAAGTGATTCTTTCTTTTTTTCTGAAAAAAGTTCTTATTTTGGGTATGTGGTAAATTGGTAAATTGAGCATACTTTTGGTGTAGTTTCATTCCTGAATTATTGAACTCATTGACCATGTTGACTAAGATAATATGCAAACCAGAGGCGAGGCTCACATAACATAATTCTGTTCAGCTCATTCAAAGTCCAATATTGAACCTACACTCGTTCAATATCCTCTGTTACGTAATCATATGATTAACCCAGTTTTCTGTGTAAACATAACCATAACATATTACTTTATTTACACATGTGTACTATAATGGTACTTTTGTTCTATGTTTATTTTTAAAGTAAAATACCGACTTGTAAACATTTTCCCAATCTTGTTTTGTAAAGTTACCCCTTACTGTTACTTATAAACAGATTAGATTTTACGTTTATATTTTGGAGAGCAATTAAGGTCTATCAAGGTTCTCTTGTTTAACATAATGATATTAGTACATGTATATATATATTTCAGGTTTTGCCACTGGAACAAGATGTGAAACTTTGGTGAAAAAATGCCAAACAGGTTCAAATCCGAGTTGTAAAAATGGTGGCCATTGTATTAATAGACTCAATTCATTTGAATGTTTGTGTGCCGAAGGTTTCACTGGAGATTTGTAAGTATATAAGTGTTGGACACTGAATAAATAGTAAAAATGGTTGTACATTTCGATCAAGCCATTACAAATTATCCTCAGACTGCACTCGTTAGAAATTTGACGATTAGTTTCAATATAGTGGGTGAGTGGCGGAACCCTGTGTTATAGTATAGCACTGATTGCTTTTAAAGGAAGTGGTCAGGTAGCTCAGCTGTGGAATGATATGCCACTGGTCCCAGGTTTAAGTCTTGATTTAGAATGCAGTTACCACTTCCACAACCAGCAATGACATTTGAACAAAAGTTGAATTGAAGTGACCAGGTTTTTTTGAATGGTTAAGTTTTATGTCTAGGCATATTCAAAGAAAATAAGTGATACATGTATATCTACTTTTCCAAGAAAATAAGTGGAGATGTTTTTATGACTATTTTGTTGGCATTTGCATTGGTTAACTTTTTCATTATGGACCATATTTTCACAGATGATGCAATATCCATGTACTTTAATCTCACTTTTCATTATCATAAAAAGAAGCCATTATGAAAAAGACCGAAGGACCGATAATCATAATCACTTTTTCATTTTTTACCCTGATTAAACATTTTGTTAATGTCTATTTTCACAGAAACTGTCTAAAGTTACTTCAAACATTTTCAAAAGCAGAATGATAATCCTTCAATAATATGTATTATTTTGTTTTGACTTCAAATTTTTTTTGCAAAGGTTCCTTTCTCATTTACTATTGAAGGTATTCTGAGTTCATGAATGGAACACTTGTTCAATTTTGAAAAGATCTCTCTTATTAAATTTCTTATAGACCATGAAATTTCTTATGATTCATGGAATTCTTATTGCCCATAAAATTCTTATAGCCCATTGAATTTCATATAACCTGTGGAATTTCTTATAACCCACAGAATTCCTTATAAGTTACTCTCCTATTTGAAATGCATTTCTTTAAATGTCAGGTAATGCTGACTGTCAATTTTGCTTTGTTATTTACATATTTCATTTTTGTCAAAAACTTTCAAAGTTATACAATTTATATTTGAAATGTTTTATCACTACCATTTTAAACCTTTATAAAAAATGAAATATTGTATGTATATAATGATTGTTTTAATTTTTGTTTACTCTGTCTTTTACTTTATAAAGCAACAAGTGGGTTTGAGTTTAGACAATAAACAAATTATAAACAGCATAACATTATTAAAGGAACTCTTCTGAGGTTCAAGAGCCCAAAAACATAAAATTTGAATTTCTTAAATGTATCAGCTTGGGCAATTAAAACAGAAATATTTGCAAAAGATATTTAAGATATATATTCAGAATAAATTGAAAATAGTATGATTGTGCTATTATAGTCTGATTTAATTAAAAAGCCTTGCAACATTTTTCAAATTTTGATCATTTTTCACAATTAGAAAAACTGAGTGAGGGACGATCTGAAATTTTGCACTCAAGTATTGGTCTAAAATTACATCAACATTAGTCTCAAAAAATTATTTGCATTCCGGTTGTGTAATGAAACCTCAGTTGAGTCCCTTTAAAGTAATGAACTAGTAGTGGGTATCAACATTTAATGTTTGACAGCTTTCTTTACCCTTTAGAACTACATTCATGAAAAAAAGGATGCATACCACATGGTGGAAAGTGTCCTTGATTTGCCAACTTTATAACAGTCCATTTTTAAGTGGTTTCTTTTTTTCTTCTTCTTGATGCAAAAGAACAAATGAGCCTCGTCACGACAAAACCAACATAGTGCGTTTATGACCAGCATGGATCCAGACCAGCCTGTGCCTCCACGCACTCTGATCAGGATCCATGCTGTTCGCTTACCAACTCTATTACAAGTGGAGAAACTGACAGCCAACAGCATGGATCCTGATCAGACTGCGTGGAATTGCGCAAGCTGGTCTGAATCCATGCTGGTCGCAAACGCACTATGTTGGTTTTGTCATGACGCGGCTCAAACAATGTTTGAGAGAATATGACTTGCTGTTTCTAGAGATTTTCTTTTTTTTTATTTATAATTAAACAGTTTACAATATATAGCCATGCCAGCATTCTCATCTGTGTTGTCTGATCTAGCTAAAAATACTGGTGGCAGAGATAAACAATATCACACAAAAGTGTAAAAAAGCATAATGTAATATTACTCTTAAAATTTAATTGTCTTTTTTTTACCAGAATTAGGTTAATATGGATAGTCAGTTTGCTGGTTATCACAGTTTTTGCAGATGGTGCAATTTATAACTTGGTCAAGCACTTGAAATCTTACAATAATTGAGTACATGTTGTTGAGAAAATATATATTTTTATATGTAATCCACTACTAGTTTGTTAACTTGATTGCTGCTGATCATAATGTACCCTAAACAGATATTATATGCTGAAAGCCAAGTATTGTGCTATAGTGGTTAATACTAAATGCCAAGCATTTAGCAATTTTAAGTTTGGCACTTGTTATAAACAATTGTTGTTTCAGAACTTTTTTTTAAATTGTCAAATTAATGTACATTGCTCTTTGAGCTGCAATAATCATTCAGTAAATGGCATTTGGAATTTATGATTAAGCAATGGTGGAATTTATGATTAAGCAATGAGCATGGCAGAAATTGGCTTTACGTGTTTAGGTGATAATGCATGAATTCTGAATACTGGTGTTACAATTCTCTTGCTCAGTCTCGATATAAAACATGTCTCTTGCTCATCTTTGGGCAATTCGTCCCCTCGGATGCCCCAAATCTCATGTAGAACTACCGGGACAATGCTTCTAGTACTTCCATGTTTTGCTCTTGGTAAAGTAAATTTGGTATTCATTTGGTGAAATTTTCAGGTTATTTCTGAATTATAGTCTTCACAGGCAAATGAAGTTTGATAAATTCTACCAGGTGTCATAGGTCACTGGGTCAATCAAGGTTACTCCGCAGGGCATGGCTGATATTCATTGGAACTTGGCACTTGTTTTTACATAAAACATCCATCTACATAGTACTATAACCAAAATTGCTGAATATTTGTAACCAAAATTGCTGGATACAGGGGATTTTTTTTATATCAAACCTTCACACCTGTACATTGAAGAAAAAATAACTCTAGGAGCTCTCAGATTGGTTTCAAAATAATGTCAATGTCTTTCTATGTTATATTGGCTATATCAAAGTATATACTGGCCGCTGCAATACAACCAAAAACATACGTTAAAGTGGATGTAAAAATCAACTGGATGTTAAAAAGTGCTGCCCCACTGACAAAAGATACTGCTCCCTACATGACTGATTGAGAAAAATGTATTTAAATATAAAATGTATATAAAAGGAATTGAATCCAGCACCCTTTTTCTTCCTCTGTACAGAAAATCTAATTAGTATATAATCAGATATCATGTCATGCCAGCTTTTGTTTCAGATGTACTTAACACTCTGACGTGATTTTTTGTGTATTTTTTTGTTAAAATGCATGAAATGTCTGTGGCTTTTTAACATGTACATGTATTAGCGAATACTGCTTTCCCTGTGAATAAATTTTGCATGACTTTAAAGTATGTCATTCTGAAACTACTTTAAACTTGTAAATGGCCAAAACAAGATTTTGTGTTTTTTTTCCTTAGAATTTTATCTTAAAGATTTATTAAAAAAAGAAAATTCTTCAAATTTGCATAGATAGATATAGCACATTGTTTTAATCATGATATGTTTAAAATTTTTTAATGGTACACAGCATGTTTAGAGGTAATGCTGTGTAAGAGGAGATACTGTGTTATAATGAATAATTGAAGATGAATGATTAAAGCTGTACACCACAAGATTCATGTTAACTTATATGAAAACTTGAAAATTGTACTAATGAGTGAAGAGTGCTTCAAGTTATATATTAACCTTACCATGCTAAATATCTAAAATGGACTTGGCCGTATTTCAATCTGGACTATACCGCTGATTATTTGAAGGGAAAATTTGACTGTGTCAGTAACAAATATTGCAGACTATGATCAGACAGCATATATTGTATATGCAGACTGGTTTAGGTCTGCACTAGTTGCATGGATAACTTCATTTTCTGTCTGTATAGGGTTATTGACAAAAGTAGGGTTATGATATACGATAAAAGATAATAAAATGTACAAACAAATGTTACAGGTAAAGAAACAATGATAATACAGTATGAATATTGAAACCTGCGCAGTATAATTGCATGATTGTATGATAATAAAAAAAATCAGGAGTGATATTTTAACATTGATTGCATGTTACTTATTTTTAAAGCTGCGAGAGGAGTGCCGAAATATGTAACCCATCACCATGCAATGCTGTTGGAACACTCCGTTGTGAAGACGTGAGCCGAGACTCCAATTTACGATACAGATGTGTTTGTCGATCCGGATATACAGGCGAAAAATGCCAAGAAGATGTTGGTTAGTAAAATATTTCTTTTTCATTTTGGATTCTTGAACATTTATCATCCATGATGAAAAATTGTTTTATGTCTATGTGGAATTTCATACCAAGTATAAATGTTTCCAGCTTACATAGGAATGATGACAAACTTCTGTATTAAGACATCATGGCTGTAAGTTTTGAGGCTCCTAGTGTTGGTTTTATGGAATCAAGCTGATAAAGTTGATTATATGATATTTTCAAATAGCTTTTTTTTTTGGTACAAATTAAACAAGAAATATTTGAAATGTTGATATCCCAAAATGACTAATAAAAAGATTTAAAAATGTAAACGATTGGTAAGAAATTGAAGCAAGGATATCTGCCATTTTGTTGCTAAGTATATTATTCATATACATACAGAAGCATGCAGGGATTAATATTTAGCAGGTATATCGATATATCGATCGAACTTCAGTATGTCCAAAGTTTGAAGGGATTTGTGTAAAAAATAAGAAATATCAGGATATTTGCCTCAACTTAATGTCAATATTTCCAGTTGTTGGCATTTACATGTAAATTACAAAAGGTGTCACAAAAGGAAAGGGGCAATAACTTAACCAAAAATTTGTCCTCATATAGGTTTTATAATGAATATTTTCGAAAAAAAATCTGAAACTTTCATTTTACTTCGACACATTGAGATGAATTGACTTAATAGACTTTGGCACATAGAAGTTCTTTTATATAAGAATGTTATATAAGAATGTTATATAAGAATGTTATATAAGAATGTTATATAAAGAGCCTATCAACCAAATATAAATGCTGCAAGTTTAACAATGATGAATAAAATTTTGAATTTCAGATGAATGTGCTTCAAATCCATGCATCAATGGAGGTGTGTGTAATAATCAGTTGAATTCTTTCTCATGTAATTGTCATTTGGCCCTACAGCGGAGTTTTCTGTGAAGTGCGTCAGGATACTTTGTCACATCTAACAATTGTCGGAGGTCAGACAATGGGGCATCTTGCGTTGATGATTATCAAGCAAATAAACATATGTGCATTTGTAATTCAGAATATACCTATGGTAAGTTTTGCTGATGAAATTCACCAATAGTGTTCCCTTTATTCTTTATCAGTTGACCTTTTCTAGTTCTGAAATATTTCAGGGACTTCTTTCATAAAAAATATACTTGTGCCTGAAGCTGGTACTGTCTAGGAAATTCACTTTTAGCTAGTCTGTTTCGAAGAAAGAATTGACTGGTAGTTGTTCTCCAAAATTTTAATGTAGCCCATTATTCAAACTTAAAAGTTATCAACATGAAAACATACTTATTATGACCATGTGGAGTTGTTATATAAGAGTCATAATTTTGAAAGCTATATGTTTGGAGTTATGCCCCTTTTTAACTTGTAATGTTTGTAAAAATTGGTAATTGATAATTGTTGACTGCAACAGACAAGAATTAACATCACATGCAGTGCTCTTGTTTAAAAAATAGCAGTTTAATCTGTTATGTAAAAGGCACTCAAAAATGTCATCCTCATCCCCTTCCAGAAATAACTGTTTGTCAAGTGAGGAAATACCCTGTTCCAGAAATAACTGGTTGTCAAATGAAGAAATATAATCTTTCAGAAATAACTGGTTGTTTATGAGGAAATACCCTGTTCCAGAAATAACTGGTTGTCAAATGAGAAAATATCCCCTTCCAGAAATAACTGGTTGTCAAATGAGGAAATATCCCTTTATAGAAATAACTGGTTGTCAAATGAGGAAATATCCCTTTATAGAAATAACTGGTTGTCAATTGAGGAAAAATTCCCTTCCAGAAATAACTGATTGTCAAATGAGGAAAAATCCCCTTGCAGAAATAACTGGTTGTCAAATGAGGAAATATCCCTTTATAGAAATAACTGGTTGTAAAATTAGGAAAAATCCCCTTCCAGAATTAACTGGTTGTCAATTGAGGAAATATCCCCTCTCAGAAATAACTGGTTGTCAAATGAGGAAATATCCTTTTATAGAAATAACTGGTTGTCAAATGAGGAAAAATCCCCTTCCAGAAATAACTGGTTGTTAAATGAGGAAATATCCCATTCCAGAAATAACTGGTTGTCAAATGAGGAAATGTCCCTTTATAGAATTAACTGGTTGTCAAATGAGGAAATATTCTCTTAAAGACATAACTGGTTGTCAAATGAGAAAATATCCCTTTATAGAAATAACTGGTTGTCAAATTAGGAAAAATCCCCTTCCAGAATTAACTTGTTGTCAATTGAGGAAATATCCCCTTCCAGAAATAACTGATTGTCAAATGAGGAAATATCCCCTTCCAGGAATTACTGGTTATCAAATGAGGAAATATCCCCTTCCAGAAATAACTGGTTGTCAAATGAGGAAATATCCCCTTCCAGAAATTACTGGTTGTCAAATGAGGAAATATCCCCTTCAGGAAATAACTGGTTGTCAAATGTGGAAATATCCCCTTCAGGAAATAACTGGTTGTCAAATGTGGAAAAATCCCCTTCCAGAAATAACTGGTTGTCAAATGAGGAAATATCCCATTCCAGAAATAACTTGTAGATGTAACAGCACAAGATGTAATATCACAGCACAAACCCATGATGTTTCAAAAGTTAACATCTACCTAGACCATAAGGCCGTTTTTCCAAACCTAGCTATGATATTTAGTGTTATAGTTGGAAGTGCTTTACTTGCATGGCCATATTGTTAGGGACTTTATATCACTGGCTTTTCAGTGCTGTAAGTTCAAATCTTCCATGGACTTATAATTGTCTCATTGGAGGGATATGGAAGGCCAGTGGCCTTACAAAGGTGCATGTTTATGCTTAAAACAATGCATGGACATGGCATCTGAGTTGTTTCTTCAATAGTATAATTGCCATATGATCTTTATAGTATTTTGCGGTGGCGGATAAAAAATCATTTCACAATCCATTGAAAAGCTTAACCCATAAAACAGATTACTAGTACTTTTTTATTACAAATTCATTGCAAAATGGCAGTAACTTATATGAAATAAAATGGACTTACAACAGTTTTGTGTTAAACCTTCGATATATCAAAGTTTTTATAACCATTTTTATATTTGTTTGAATTTCAGATGCTGAGGGAAGTTATGCTCAGTACCAGATACTGCTAAACAGAGCACCTACAAATCTTCAGGACTTTACCGCTGAAAGTGATGTGGACACTGCAGCCGAATGTAGGATAAGATGCACTAGCATTACAACTCGCTGCAACCTGTTTGCATTTGATTTGAATACCAACAAATGTTACATTTGGAGTTCTGACACATCCCTGACATTTGGCACCAATTCAAATGTGCATCTGTACACAAAATATGTCATCAACCCAACTGGTAAGGCTTCACTAACACTGTGTGTATTCACATGTTAGCTTAATGTTTGAGTATGACAATGTTTGACATAACACAGAAAGTAGCTAGTACAGTAGTCTGGGTATATTTTTTGTATAAAGTCTGTTAGAATGAATGAAACGATTTCATGATCAAATACAGTTTAACTGCCATAAAAATAAGAACAATTTTTCCATATTAACAAGTATTCTTGGAATGATACATATGACACATTTTCAGTTTACGAACCTCTAATTTTGTGCAATTTAAAGGATAATTTCACATGCTATAAAAAGAAATGCTATGGCAACCATGTTCCTGATGTTAACCTTCAAAAGAAATGTTGCATCAACTGGCCTTTGTATTGAAATGTTAATGTCATGAAAAATAAGCGTTCCTCAGGTTCCCCCGCTGAAATTATGCACGAAGGGACATCTTGAAGTCTTTTCACCAGTTAAGCTGGAAAATAATTATAATACCCTCAAAATGTTTGTATGAATATTATAAAAAAGTTAGTTGTAGGTACTTTATAAAAATGGTACAACCAACTGAGGTCCTGCTACCTTTTAAGGGATATCGCATACTAGGTGTGTCACGGTTAGAAAAATGCTAATGGTTTAAATGGTAACGTAAGAAGGGTGTTAAACATTTAACCGACCATACTAATGAAATCCTTAGATTTTCAACATAAACTTTCTTTATGTTTCTTTATGACAAGATATGACATTTTGTTTGTATTTTATTGAACTCAAAATGATTACAATACATATCTGAATATGGAGTAACTATTTTTGGCTAGGGTCATACTATACAATTATTGACTAGTGAGCCATTGAATATGATGTGATATTCACCGGCAGATGACATATTGACCGAGGCGATAGCCGAGGTCAATATGACTTTCTGCCGGTGAATATCACATCATATTCAATGGCTCACTAGTCAATAATTGTTTTATTATATGAATAGGCTAATAAATAAAACAAGCACAAAAAGTACAACCTTATATACATGTACACATTTTGCCTCGTTGGAGCTCGGGGAAAAAAGACGCACGTGTTAGGCGTGCAACGACTTTGCGAATGCTGCGCATACAAAAGTAATTCAAGTTTATACTCAACATTGCGGTGTAGCCTTTAAGTAAAATGGTAATGTATTGATATTTTAATCGAGAAATATGCCATAAAGAACAAGAAGCAACAATTATTTTTTAAGTAACACGCGTATTTAACAGTCTACAGTGTATGATCATTGAATATGAGTCTGAATCTATTTTTAGACTGGGAAAATCCAATTCAGCCAGTGAATATGATACTACACCCAGTAAATATGATTTTATAAAAAGTTCTATTGACTACTGTTTGGACCAATGAGATTACAGATATATTTAGATCATATAATAATGCATATTATCAGACCGGAAAAAAGAACTTTGTTGAGTAAAACTAAAATACAAACTATTGTCATATCTTGTTATAAAAGAACTAAGGTAATATTTAGAATCAATTTAAAGCTTTTTTCGCCCCTTTGCCAGATACAAGCCTCAATTACTGGTTATTGAATTTTCTCACTGGTTTTTAGCTAAAAACAGATGTACCTGTTTCAACGGATAAACGTGACACCCCTACTTTCAACCCTTGACAATGAACTGACAATAATCAATAATCAGGAAGTTCAAAGTGAAATATTATCACTGCATTTTTATACAGTATGAACAGAAAATTTCTCTGTTAAGACAGAAATAATAAAGATCTATATATGTTCAACGATGACTGAAATTTGAAAGACAAACTTCCGCAGTCAGACAAAATATTAAGACTTTTTGCCAAATGTGGTGTTAAATTTTTGTGTTGGTTTCTTTATTCCAGATGATTTCTTTACACCAAAATATAGCCTGAAAACACCTACTCCTTCATCACCTGCTGATTCTGAATCTCTGGCAACTCTGAGAGATGTAAGTACATGTAGACCAAAGCTCGTTATAAATAATGGCAAAAAATGTTTGTGAAATTAATGAACAATCTTATTATACCTCAATATATCCTGGCAACTCTGAGAGGTGTAAGTACATATAGACCAAACAACTTATAATATGTAATGGTAAAAAATGTTTGTGAAATTAATGAACTATCTTATTATACCTCAATATATCCTGGCAACTCTGAGAGGTGTAAGTACATATAGACCAAACAACTTATAATATGTAATGGTAAAAAATGTTTGTGAAATAAATAAAATATCATAATATACTAGTCCCTTCAATTCTCCGTGCAACTCTGGGGAAATTTTTCATGAAAGTACAGAAACCCAAATTTGATAATATATTTTAAAGTCAATTTTTGCCCAAGTTTTTTTGTTTTTTTACCATAAAAATTCATATCATAAAGGGAAACCTAAAGGTCTAACAAAAAATCATGGGGATGTAAATCATGTCAAAAAAGAAGGGTAAAATTTTAAAAAAATTTAAAAGGGGAGATAGTGTTTTGATTAAAAAAAATGTCAGGCAAAAAAAGTTGGTTTTGGAAGTCATAAATTACCGTATTTTTGATGCCCAAAAAAGTATTTTGGTCATAAAATATTTAGGTGGGGGTAGCTTTTAATAAATTTTTTTAAATTTTTTGTTTTTTTTTCCCCATGGGTTTTAAAAAGGTTGTTTTTTTTAAAAAGGTTTTTCTTTGTTTTTTGAAACCAAAAAAATCAGAAAAGTAAGGACAATTGATAGACATTTTTACATTTTTGTCTTAGTTTATGTAAATTTGACACATGTCTAAGATAATTTTACGTAGGAAATGCAAGACAATATTGTTGTAATATAATGCAGAGTTCAAATGGGCAATAATGATGACAATGATGTGATGATCATGAGATTGGTGTACCTGAATGATTCATAACAAAATATTTAAGATTATTGAATTAAAATGTAGGAAAAAATGATATAGGTTTCCATTTAAAAATGCTGCTGAAACTAGAATTCAGAAAAATATATCGTACTATTACCAAGCAGAAAAGTGTCATTACATGTATTAAAACTTTGTCTATTGTCATCACATTTGATATCAGATGATGCATTAACATTTCTTTATGATGTCATGCATATTTCATGTAGTAATATACTCTTCTGACTAGGAAAATATTATGAAGTTTGTTAGAATATAGCATATAGTATTTGCGATACTTTGTTTCAGTACGGACTAGATATTTGTGGAGGCACTGAACCTTTATATACGAGATGTTGCCGAGTTGGAGCTACATGCTTGGATAATAGAAACTTACCAGGCGGTCTTACATGCAACCAGGAACTAAAAACACTCTCGTATCCGTTTGCAAATCAAGATTATGATATTCAGTTTAAGTGTTCTGTGAGCAGAGGTACATAAATTACTGATACTTGCTGTTTAAGAGTACATTAAGCATCAAAATACCAGCTTAAGAATTTATCCTTAACTCCCAGAATTTTTGTAATGGATTTACCCTATTTTGAATTTGGACCAGTCCATTTTTTAAAGGTTGAGGGATTTCAATATCAGAATACAAAAAGATCTAGCTATCAGTAGTATAAAGCCTGGTTAGACTTCATGGGTGTGCAGGCTGGTCTGACATATACTGGTGGCTTAGCCTTTAATATAATGAAGTTAATGACAACATTCTGTCATGATTTTATGCCTGTTAAAATTTGTTATAAAACCTGATTTTAACAAGTAGATCTAGTTCCAATTTAAAATTATGGCTAGTTTTACAATACTCATAGGGGTATCTTTATTATTAAGTCAATATCAGGTTGTTTCATCATCTATATTATGGTGTTATTTTTATGCAATAGTAACAATGCTCAAAGTCATTGTGATTAAGGCATACTATGGATATTTACCTACATTAATAAATTAAATATGATTTTAAACAGAGGTGACCTTTGTCTGCTTGTTTTCAGATTTTGACCTTTGACCCTTGAAATATATTTCAGTATTCAGGTCTTTCACTTGTAAACAGAAGACCGATTACTGTGCTTCACTTACCCCGTGCCAGCATGGTGCGGCATGTTCCGACATGTTCGGTGGGTATCGATGCAGTTGTACAACCGGTTACACGGGCAAAAATTGTCAGACCAATATTAACTCATGCGCAACTAACCCATGTATAAATGGTGGAACATGTGTGGATCAAATTATTGGCTATGAGTGTCAATGTACCGAATTCTATGAAGGTAAGGTTTAATTTGATCATAACATTTCATATTTATAAAGTGTCTGACCTCTTGATTGTCTTGGATAAATATATTCTGGTGACAAGTTAATTTGGTAGGGAAAACTATCTTGGCCTGTTTTTCCAAGTTTTGTTGTTGTTTAATTATTATATTTGAGGATATTTTTTTAAGGGTTTGTGTAAGATCGGGAAATTTTTTTCCCCCGAGTGAAACACCAAAAAAGGGATATTCACGAGGGGGCGCAACCCGAGTGAAAAAATTAACTTTTTGGTTTTTCAAAGGTGAAATATATTTTGATCTCCTTTCAAAACTAAACAAAATTTTCCCTTTTTTTTATAAAGCAAAAAAAACGTTTTTAAAAAAACAAATTTAAAAACCCAATACTGAAATGAAACGTTTGGGCCCAAAAAATAATACAGTGTGACCCTCATTTTTTCGAACGTTTACCGGGTTTTTAATTTAAGTTTGGGTTCCCCAGTTTTTCCTTGGCAAACCTTTTTTAATTTTTAAATTTTTAAAACCCCCCAAGGGGAAGGGGCTTAAATTTCAAAAAAAAGTTGGGAAATTAACAACAGTGGTAATTTCACTGTTTCAAACAGTGAAATTACCAGTTTTTATATCACTGATATATTGCTATAAACCACCGAAAAGCATGTAATAAAAAATATATCTTTATTAACAATAAATCTATTAGAATGTATGTATATAGAACCATAGGTTGTAGCAATAATGCACATTTGGAAATTTTCAAGAATAAATGTGTTATAATGGCAATCGCATGAACGATCAGTGAGGTGTTTGTATTGGTGTTTTTATTCCCCCTTACCAAAAAAAAAAAAAAAATGAAACAAAAAATGGGGAAGGTAAAAATAAAAAATAAAAATAGTTTTTTAGCTCGACTATTCGATAAGAATAAGTAGAGCTATTGTAGTCACCCGAGCGTCGGCGTTGGTGTCCGCGTCGGCGTAACCACTTTGTTAAAGTTTTGTAATACCTCAAATATTTTCAAAGTCCATTGACATATGGCTTTGAAACTTTGCACACTTGTTCACCATTATGACCCCAACCTGTAGACAGGGGGAGGTAACTGTATCAAGCATTTTGACAGAATTATGCTCCTTTTTTTCGACTTAGAATGTACTCAAATATTTTCAAAGTCAATTGACATATGGCTTTGAAACAAGTTGAAATTTTATAGTCTTCTTTGAGAGTATAATAGGACTCTCTTCAAGGCCTATATCTGTAATATGGATTTAAAGAAATTTTTCATCCTTTTCTTTACTTAGAAAATTCCATTATCAAGGCTTTTTTACTATCAACAGGGTTCGTACAGTCTTAAAAAGTGCTTAAATTTGAGTCCCTTTCTTAAAAAGTGCTTAAAAATAAAAAAAAGTGCTTAAAAGTCCTTGAATTTGATTACTCTCTTGAAAAGTGCTTAAAAGTGCTTAAAAAGTGGTTGAATATGCTGAAAATGTGCTTGAAAATTTGAAACACAGAATAACATAGTTTCGATAAAAATTAACAAAGTAAAAAGAAAATAATCAAATTTAGTATCAAAATCAATTAAATGTTTACTCAAGGTAACAGTAAGTGGGCAAATTGCAGTTGTTTTGAACTAATCTGTATTTGATGACCCTAAATCCTTGTTCTTCTATAAATTCCTTAAAATTGTGGTGAGAAAATGTGTATTCAACAAAAAATGGCAAATAAACTACCCATCTTCGATTGAAAATTGTGTCGGTATATGTGCAACAAATGTGCTTGAAAAATGGGAAAACATGCTTAAATAGTGCTTAAAAAGTCCTTGAATTTTGGCATTGGACATCTGTATGAACCCTGATCAAGCACTAAGAATAGTCGAGCGTTGCTGTCCTACCGACAGCTCTTGTTTTAAAGCTTCCTTCCTTTGGTCTGTCCACACTTGCTGTCTAGTCTAAATCTTTCTTTTAATAATGAATTTGGAATATTTTTTGCATAAATGTATAGCACATTTGGACATTGTGTCACCAAAAGTTCCAGCAGATCTGTAGCTCAAAGGTGAAGGTCACACTTTTTCGTAAAAGTACACTGATGTTTGTGTTGAGTGTTCCTTAGATGGATTTTGAAATAAGAATATATGAATGTGTTGGACATGATGACCTTGTGTTGTGCACAAGAATCAGATCTCTAGCTCAAAGGTCACATATGTATGGGAAAGTCATGATAAAGGTGCACTGATGGTTTTATCAACAATTACACTGCTACTTTGTTATAACACACAATGTTATAAGGCTAACCTCAGTATAACGCTCATAGGCCTTGGCTCCACCCGAAGAATAAAAAAATACTAACAAAACTCTGTTACAAATGTAAAATATCAGAAAAATGTTCAGAAGGATGGAATCCCTCAAATTGCAAAAAAGGCAAGATTAAAAATACTGTCAGAGCCCCAGTATCAAGTTTTCAATGGAAAGAAGGGACATATTAAAGTGATAATGTCATTAATGTTTTCAGGAACAAACTGTGCCAGTCTGAAAGCTTTCTGTAATGTTGACAGTTGCAACCGACGCGGATCTTGTAACAATGTCCCTGGATCTGGCTACAGATGTACATGTAACCGTGGATACGAGGGTACAGATTGTGAGGTAAACGTCTATAGTGAAGGCTTATCTGTTAATATCTGCATCAAGAAGTGACATATAGATATAAGTAATAAGATATAGATTTAGAAGTGGGATACAGATATAAACAATAAGATATGATTTAGAAGGGGGATACAGATATAAACAATAAGATAAAGATATAAACAATAAGTTTTTGTAGTGTGATATACAAGATGCAGAAATATGATATAGATTTAGAAGTGGGATATAGATATAAACAATAAGAAATAAGATTTTGAAGTAAGGATACAGATGTAAACAATCAGATAAGATTTAGAAGTGGGATATAGATATAAACAATATGATAAAGATTTAGAAAGTGGGGTATAGATTATATGAATCTTACACCGGCTAACGGTACAGACAGGAATATCTAGCTCGAGAGTGACAGTTTACAGCGGTAACAAGGCTCTGCCAAGTTTTTCGCTGAACAGTTACCCGAGAGCTAGATAATCCTGTCTGCAACGACAGCCGGTGTTTGATTCTTTTCTTGCATATTACATATCAATTATTTTCATAACAGGAACTACAAAACCTGATATTCTCATTATGCACTTTTTTCTTATAGTAGCGTATGAACTTAGAACTTCATTCCTAACGGTTGACGTCATCCTAAGAATGCAATTCATTCATAAAATGCGCGCAGCAATGACGTCATTTAAAGCATGCGACTTGTTTTACATGGGAGGTGGGGGGGGGGCTGTAGGACAGGGTTTTCTTGCACTGGTGTAAACAGTAGATAATCCTGTCTGATATACAAGAATTTTGATATAAACAATAAGATATAAGGTTAAGAAGTGGGATATAGATATAAACAATTAGATATAAGGTTAAGAAGTGGGATATAGATACAAAGAATTAGATATAAGGTTAAGAAGTGGGATATAGATATAAACAATTAGATATACAATGTAAGGTTAAGAAGTGGGATATAGATATAAACAATTACATATAAGGTTAAGAAGTGGGATATAGATACAAACAATTAGATATAAGGTTAAGAAGTGGGATATAGATACAAACAATTAGATATAAGGTTAAGAAGTGGGATATAGATACAAACAATTAGATATAAGGTTAAGAAGTGGGATACAGATACAAACAATTAGATATAAGATTTAGAAGTGGGATATAGATATAAACTATAAGATAAAGATTTAGAAGTGGGATATAGATTATCGATATAAACAATAAGATATAAGGTTAAGAAGTGGGATATAGATATAAACAAGATGATATAAGATTTAGATGTGAGATACAGATATAAACAAGAAGATTTAAAAGTGTGATATTCAAGATACAGAAATAAGATATATAGATTTAGACAAAAGTCAGTGAAGTACCAAAATCTGGAGTATCTTAATACTTATAAAATGTGGAATTTTTATTGCTGTTTTTTTTTTTCCGCTTCAGATTGAAATAGATTATTGCGAAAGTGATCCATGTCAGCATGGTGGTACCTGTAATGGTAGAATTGGTGGTTACACATGTGCTTGCATTAATGGTTGGCAAGGAATAAACTGTGAGACCGCAGTGAAAAAGTGCAATGACCAAGTGACGGGAGGAAGATGTCAGGGAACCTGTTATAACATCTTTAATGACTATAGCTGCAAGTAAGTTAAAATTCTAAATTGTCATAATTGATTTCATATTTAATCCCCAATATTTCTTTATCAGTTCTATATATTTTTGTTAATATTTTTTTGGTCTTTTTATATTATTCTGGATGTAAATGATGAACATTAATACAGAAATTAATAAACTTGGAAAGAAGCCAAATTGTAAATTTTGACACTACTTTGAAAATGGCACAACTTCTAGTCTTCGGGAATGGGTCCATTTACAGAAAAAAAGGACAAAAAACAACAATAAGACACTTTTGAAGGCCTGTTTAAGAGATTATTATTTCTAAAATCAAATGGTCAATTACTCTTTATTTTTGCTGTTAACCAGATGTGATGCCAACAGATTTGGGTCAAATTGTGAAAATGTTCGAAGTCCATGCCGGGACTACAACAAGTGTCAAAATGGTGGCCAGTGCTCTTATGATACCTCTATGATGTGTAGATGCCCAACTAGTAAGTTTTGTTTTATACAATGGACCATTTGTTATTGCTTAATTTTAGTCAATGTTTAAGTTCAGTTTTTGTAAGCAAATATGTACAATATGTCAGTATGCTTTTTGAGTATTCAGGCATACAATTAAATACAGCAACTTTTGTTTAAATAAAATATGTTTTGCAATTGACATTTGAAATATTTTATAATTTTATATCAAGAAAAACCATAATTTTTTATAAATGGCAAGTGAGTAATTTTTGGTAACAGTGATAAGATACCAAAGATTTAGAATTTTTTTGTGAGAAATAAAATTGATAACATTTCTAAGGCATAATGGGCCTTTAATACTTGAGATATAAATTCAACATAAGATAGTTTATAGCAGCCATTAAAATTAGGATTATAATGTAGAGGCAAGTTTCTCTAGTTTCTAAGTGAATGTCATTGTAAATTAGAAATACTAATTGGTCAAGGAGAAAAAATCAACTGTTTCTTGCTTCTTTGGACTACTTTTTATTTTGAACATTGTTATATAATATGATTTTTTAAAAGGTATATTATTCCTCAGAAACAAATAAATGTTTCTTTCTTTAGAAAGAATAAACATGTGGTTTATAAGTTAAAAATCATGATGATTATCACTTGGAAGATAGTAGCATTGAATGTAAAATGATTGTTAATAAAATTAGCAAAATGTAAACAAAGTAGTATTTTGACTTCCATACAAAATAGTCAATCACTATAATGGTTTAAATTGCTGGAAAGCAATAGAAGCAGAAGTTGGTATAGGGTGAAAATTGGCCAATGAATAATCCTTTTTTGAAAATATATCAAAATCTTTTGAGAAATGTCAATAATTTTCTGAGGAATAATGGGCCTTTAAAAATCTAATTATTCTTCATTTTTTCAGAATACACTGAAGACGGTTGCCAAACCCTCGTTGATTACTGTGGAATGACAAACCCATGTAAGAATGATGCCATGTGTTCTGTGACAAATACAGGATACACATGTACATGTAAAGACGGTGAGTCATACGATGTTTTCTTAAATGATCCACTACATTATGTGTTCCTCTGAAGGAAAAAAAAATCAGTCTGGGTAGAATTATTTCCCTTGATCAGAAAATATGTGTAATTCAAACTGAGGCAGATAAGGTTTTGTCTGAAATTTTAAACCCAGGAAGTTAGTGAAGTTCATTATTTTTGTGATATGCAAACTAAAAATAATATTAAGATTTTGCTCTACAAATAGATCTACAATAAGTTAGATCCACGATATTGAAAATATTAATATTGTGTACTTTTCTTAAACATTATTTTCAAATGTCCCATGCACCTCTTTTTAAAATAACCAACATTTTTTTCTAAGTTTTTAAAAAAGGGAGCTCACTAAGATGACAATTTTAAAATCTATGGTTAATGCTGCTTTTTATTGGAAAATTTTTAAAAGTTTAATTGTCTGTTACAAGCGAATGTATCATAATTTATATAGGGATTTTTTAAATTTAATCATACATTGTATTTGCTTTTGAAGAAATTTTGTTATCAGGAAAAAAATTTTGGGGAGAGAATGAAAAGGAAAGTCTTAAAATTGTTATGTATATTATTACAAAGTGTATTAGAAGAAACCATAACCATTAGGCTAGCTCAATAGTTAGAGTGTCAGACTTTGAATCGGGCGACCCTGATTTGAGTCCCAGATGGTGCAAGTCATTTTTGTTGTGATTGAATCATTTGCTTTATACCTTTGCTCTGGCATGTTCAGAAGTTATCAGTTCCTTGAGAAAGTGGAGGCAACTAGTACTGGTAAACTGGTTGCCAACATGCCCAGGAATGATGTTGTAGCTAAACTGTGCTCTGGTAAATTCAAAGTGGCTTAGTGCCGTGATACCAAGGGTAAACTACCAATAAAATACAACACCACTACTACTAGTAGAAACCATTATAACAATTACATGAATTTACATTAATGAGCCGTGTCACGACAAAACCAACATAATGCGTTTGCAACCAGCATGGATCCAGATCAGCCTGCGCATCCACACAGTCTGACCAGGATCCATGCTGTTCGCTATCAGTTTTTTTACTTGTTATAGGGTCTGTAAGCGAACAGCATGGATCCTGTTCAGCCTGCGCGGATGCGCAGGCTGGTCTTGATCCATGCTGGTCGCAAACCCATTATGTTGGTTTTGTTGTGACACGGCTCATTTATCTCTTGTTCCAGGCTATGAGGGAACTAACTGTGAAAATGAGGTAAATGACTGCCCTGCTGTAACATGCCCTAACGGCGGCACTTGTTTTGATGGAGTTAATACCTACTACTGCCGATGCCCACTACGAAAAACTGGTACCAATTGTCTAAAAGGTATGTCCAAATAAAGTGTTTTGTTTTTGCACTTATTATTGTCAATTATTCTTGTTCATTATTCAAGAAAACATGTACAAGAATTTTTCCTGCAGGAACCTGTGTGACCAAATTCAATGTAAATAATAACATAAATGGTATAAATATGAATATTGTTATAAACAGGGTAAAATGTTTTGGAACAAAATATACAAACAGATTTCTTTCATAATTGTTTTTTGAAGTTTTCCTTTTCAAAATTCAAACAATAATTGTGTGACCTACAGCCGAGCAATATATAGCTTTATACACTTAAAAAATGTCAAACTGTATTTTGAATAAAATAGGTGTGTTCTTGAACCTGGTGTTTGAACTGCTATCAAAGATTTGTGTTCCTAATTATACACAGTAAAGCGTTAGATCAGTTATTATTTTGTCATTATTATTTTTCTTTTATTCATAGATGTTGACGTTAACTACGACCTGTCTTTCTATCATCCTCGAGGGTATGGCTTTGCATGGATTCCATATTATATCCAAGTTACCAATGTGAACTATATCTCAGTAACACTATGGGTGAGATATTCCACAAGTGGAGACACAGGGGTGTACATGACACAGTTTGTCGGGTATGGTTTTGCTTTTACTTTTAGAACTAAAGTGATTGTCGGGTATGGTTTTGCTTTTACTTTTAGAACTAAAGTGATGGTGGCAGTAAAACATCATGATTATTATGATATTTGAGTTTTCAATCAGGTTTTCAAATTAAAAATGTTACAGTTTATAATTTTTCATCAATAAAGGGAGAAAATGTGTAAGTGGGTTAGTAGAGTTGCCAAACATTATTCAGATGGCCATGAATTCTAGTCATGGTCAGGCTGCAAATTTTTCTCACCCTGTGATAAAGAGACCTCCAACCTGATGTTTTGTGAATGTTGACGTACAGCCAGACATGTCTTTTAACTCATACATTTTTTTATAAATTACAACCAAACTCACAGAGTTTGTCATTAAGTGGTATGGTGTATGTAGTCAGGGCTTTTGTGTTTTTTCCTATTTTTAGGTCCCTATTTGAAAAATAGAGAGAGCTTTTGTACTCACCTAAAGGTTGTCGTCGGAATCACACTTTTGTTAAGTTTTTGTGTGAAAGTTGGTATTTCAGAAACAACTAATCTGAATAGGTTGAAACTTCACACACTTCTTTGAGAGAATAATAGGAGGTTACTTACAAAGGCCCATAACTCATTTATGGATTTTGACAGAATTCTTGGTGTTTTTAACTTAGAATTTTCTTCATTATCTTGGCACATGATTTTCTATGAAGCATTAAGTATAGTTGAGCATGCTGTCCTACTGACAGCTTGTGTTTGCCAAATTCTGGCCTATGTTGTTGCTTTTTTTTTCACAGTCACAGCAAACCTGGTTTTACGACAATTTCATGTCACTTTTTTAAGTTGTCAGACCATGTGATTATTAGCACGGATTGTACATAACAAGTACGTCAATTATGACTATAATTAGCATCGAAACAATTTACCATGGATACTGGCATATACTTTATTCTAACACTTGTACTGACTGTGTACATAACTTCAGAAGCATTCATTTGATAATCAAAAATCATGTGTGATAATTAGCTGGTCTCTTATGCTAAAATAAACTAGGGCTTTGTCAAAATCGGCCTATTCAGTGGTATATCAAAACTATCAACATGAAACTACAACACTCGATTATTAGGACAGAGATCGGTTGTAAGACAAGGATTATTATCCTGAAAGCAATATTTCTAAGAGTTATGCCCCTTTTTAACTTAGAATATTTATTAAAATTTGTTATTAACAGACTAGCGTTAATGCCCCATGTGATACTTTTATTATCAGTTTATTGCTTTGGAATACAGCTTACAAATAATAATGAGCACAGGAGGCGCACAGGAGTCAATGGCGGCGCAAGTTTTGATACAATCACCTTATTTCCTAACATTTGTTTTCTGTTTCCTTTGTTATTGTTATTTTATAAGGGAAAGTAGATAAGGGTAAGTAATGGGGTAAAGATCTAAGATATTCACAGCCCTGTTTACACGTCAGTAAGCATGGAAAAGTGTTTAATTGAAGTTGAAAGAACTTTTTTTGGCACTGACAAGATTTCTGACATATCGTTCAAAATGAATTTTTATATTTTCAACAGAGATCGTTTTGAAGATGCAGATAGATTTATGGAATTTGAGGAGAGGGGTGTAAAGATTTATATTAATCAACCCAATTCTGATCATGTACTGTTACAATACGGTCGTGCAGCCGTAGTCAATGACGGAAACTGGCATTTAGTGGCGTTAACATGCGACATGATCAAAGGTGTAGCAAGTCTGTATCTCGACACTATACCACATGATTCAGTGACTGATCAAGGACTGGTCATGCCAGATGTTAGGTAATAAAACTGAAAAATGATGAGTGTTTTTAACCAGATTGTAAAACTAACTTTGTTAATTTAGGAAATAGGATGTTTGTTTGTTTGTTTGGGTTTTATGTCACATCGACACAGTATAGGTCATCACGAATGTAACATGACTTCAATACTTTTGATAATTCAATTGGTTTCTGTGATATCATCACATTCTCCATGATTAAAATTACATACCTAGTATACCCTTAAAGGGTATAAAATGTGCGGTACTTTAAGAAAACAACGTTACTAAAAATACATTAAAAGTTTACATGTTTCCAATCATTTGTTGTTTGTATTTCAAGTTAACATGCATTTGAGGGGGGGGGGGGGGTGTTGGTTGTGAAAAAAAGTCATTAAGTAGACTTATTCAATACCATAAATAAAATAAATTCTCATTGCTGAATTTAGCAGATTTGTCTCTGCTAGTAGCAGATTGGTGTGATGTATCTGTTAGTGTATAACTATTAAGATTACATAATGTCTGTAGGTAAACTGTATAATGTTTCCAATTAAAGCTCCCCTCCCCTTTCTGATATTAGTGCCCCCTACAAATGTTGCAGATGAAATTTCTTGACTACCATGTAAGTGAATATTTGGCAATTACCGTAAACTTCTGTTAGGAATAATACTAATTATTATATAAATATATAGTTTCAGACATTGGATTGTGCTGGGATGTGAATTTGACAATGATGAAAGGAGATGTACTGAAAATGGCAAAGGTTTCCGTGGTTACATCAGCCAGGTTAACTGGTACACACGAATGCTGTCTTTCGAAGGCCCGGGTGATGGCAGTGTAGGGGACATACCTACGATTTTCATCAATCCACGATACGTGTTTGGAGATTTGAATTACCTCCTCCTTGCATGGAACGAGTATGTGTATGAAAATGGCGTGGGGAAGATGACACCTTCTGAGGCTAATGGTCAACCTTGTAATGTTCTGAACAGAAACCCAGCCTGTAGTTCCTACAGAGGTAAATTTAAAAAGCATAGTGAAGGTCTTATGGTTAAATAGTAAGTCAAGGGATCTTAGGTTTGAGCATCACTTGGGTCACGATCATGATTCATACATCATATGACATTAGTTCTGGTTAGTTTCAAGAAGCAGACGTAAGAGTAGAACAAAAAAGCAATCTGTACAAAAGTTTAGTGTGATTAACGTTTTAAATCTTTGAGGTCTAGCTCCCATGTTTAGAAGTTATCCAACTAGCATAAACCTTGTGGCTCTTGCTGGTGCTTAGTGTAATACATCGATTGGCACTTTAGGTTTTCCAATCACACTTAACTCTTTACCTCCTGAATCTGCCCGGTTTTCAATTTAGGGCAGTCTATTTGAATTTTAAGGGATATCCATTTTCAAATTACACTTAGCTTGCCTTGATATCTACTATAATTGCTTAATTGGTTGTTTTCCGTCACCTACATTAAATATTTTGATACAATGCAATACAAATATCTTTTAATCTTTTGTAATGAATTCAATGACACATGATTAAGTAACGGAAATTAATGGAAACTGTGAGTGAATTCGGATAATCGCTGAATCGGATAAGAGTAAACATCAATTGACAAATGCTGGTACAAATATTTAATCATGTCTCAGCCTCCTGTTTAACATTTTAACATCTTAGGTTAACTTGAGGACAAAACATTTTTACATAATTATTTATGTTTATTTATTTTTGTATTCACATGTATTAAAATGAACAATAAGATATTGCAAAAATAAAATATGTATATATTGCAATTTCAAATGCATTCCTGTTTTCTTTCCTTGAACTATTCTGCCAATCACATGAACAAACATGTAAAAAGCCTTCTAATCCGGAAACCTTTCAAATCCGAACTTTTCTTCTGGTCCAGACGTGTTCGGATTAGACAGGTTCCACTGTAATTGTAAATGGACTCTTCCACAATAAAAGCAAGACATGTCTATTATACAAAGTAAGGGGGTCAAAGATTTTGGAGAATGAAATGGCTCCTTTGTTGTAAAAAACAGAGTGAAAAACTAATTTTATCATATTGTTTTTTAGCCCACCTATTTCAGTATATTTGTGAAGTTGATTTATTTTTATATTGAATGTACACATATTTTAATTTATCAAAGCAAAAATGTTTGTATTTTTTAGTATAACACATGCAACATATCTTGTGTTTCTAAGGCTTGCATTGCCATTAATGATTTAAATTGTTTTGTTTGACTTAAGATTCCTGTTCATATTTTAGCAACCTCACAACATCCCTTGGTCATCAGCTGTCCTGGAGACAAGGTCATTTATTCTGAGGATCGAATTACTACAGTTACCTGGGATGAACCAGAATTTAGTAGCGATGTCAGTGTAACCAGGCCAAGTCGTCCCCCAGGTCAGTATCACTTAATAGCTCCTCCGATGACCACAAAAGATACTGATACAGACTACATGTATTTTGGAACTTTTGATACAATTTATATAATATTTTTTTGTACACCTGTTCTAATGTGTAAGCTGAAATTTATTAACTAATTATGGTAATGTCTTATTTAAGTTTATGAGGTCTATTATTTTCTTCTTCTTTTGTTATTGCAAGTATACTCCTTGCGGAGTGATGCAATTACTTGAGATGATGATGATGATGAAGGACATAGTTTTTTTTCTATTTTGACAAAATATAATTTTTCTTTCATTTACAGGAAGTTCATTTACGTGGGGAATCTACAGAAACACCTACATAGGGATAGATGGTGCCAACAATAAAGCCTACTGTCATTTTACAGTTTATGTGAATGGTGAGAGCTTATGTTTTGTTATATTATGCTCAAATTTGATATTTGAAATTACTGATTGTTACAATACAGTCTCTTTTTATTTGTAAAAAAACCTTGTTCGAGTACACACAGAAAAGATATTGCTGCGCCAAATTCCACACACTCTAGGTTTACACAGTGTCTTAAAAAAAAATGGCTAGCTAATGGAAGGTCAGTGGGTTTACTCAGGCACCCCCTCATGCCTCTTATATTTTGTACGAGCACCTGGTAGTATAAATTTGTTGATTTGCTGAACAGAAGCAGATAAGAAAATCAACAGACTTGTAAACAGGATATTGGTACACAGCTGTTAGTGGAATAGTTCAAGTACTTGTCAGTCTTGTGTCATTGTAACGTGACTTGGTGGATATTGTGTACGGAACATTATTTCAGAAAGGCGACACAACTCAGATGATTATCAGATGGTAATGATTTGTATGGAATAACTGATAGGAATTACAATACACATGTAAATAATGTACAAATAATTGAAAAAAATTTGTTTTTTTTTGTACCTTTTATCTACTTTTTATTTGCATATAGTACATGTGAAATATGGTGTTATGTTTATATTCTAGCTGGGCGATGTGATGCTAATCCTGACCCAAGAGGCGGTACGCAGGTGTGCAATACAGTGGATGGCCGCAGAAACTGCATGATATCTTGCAATAATCCGAACACAGTAACTTACGGAATTGATCGTGCTCATCCAGATCTGTTCACCTGCGGACCAACCGGTTTTTGGAATGCAGATAAACCATTTAGACGTTTTAGATATCCATCATGTGGACGTATGTATTGATGATTACAACGTTCTTTACCAATTTAATATGTTTTCAGTACTTTTTCATGTCTAGTTAAAAATTATTATCACATGCAGAAGTTTAAAGATAGAATAGGACATTCTGATTGGTATAAAACCCAATAAAAAATAAAAGAAATCATTAAGTTGAAAAGTTATTATTTGCTCAGTAATGTTAAATACTAGCAAATTATATTATATCATATTTCATACCTTACATGTATTATTACATGTATTATCATCATATGGGCTGTTGCGTTAGTTATAAGCTACAACAAGATATAAGCATAATTGAAATAGATAAACTTACACATTTAGCTTAGTCCAACTAATTGTACTACGCAATGAGATATTGTGCTATTTTATGTATGGGCAATATCTCTCCTCTACAAAGTGGTGAGAGTCTGACCCAGAACATACATATCTCAAAATCTAGCTTTTGCGAGTCAATACATTTTGACTACATTTATCGTAAATCATTTCCAAATGCCAAAAATAGTGACAGTAGAAAGTTTATCCAGTCATATTCTGCTGCAGAATTATCTTTTTATTATCATTTAAAAGGGTTTATTACCATATGTAGGTCAGCATTAGTGCTGTTTATTTATGCCAAAGTTTCATTAACTTTTAATCATTTTTCCTAAAAATCAAGATTTTATTCATGTATAAATTCTATATTCGATTCCAGTTATCAAACCGATACCAAAGGTGCAAGCATATATTCGTGTTAACTACAGAATATTGACTGCTGCGTGTGATGCAGCCCAGACGAATATACGAGTTCGCACATACGAGGAATTCCGTAAAATGAAGGATCTATTCACTGGCCAGTTTTGTCAGCAGGCAGACTGTACGGATATTACTGTATTAACTACTTGTCAGACAATAAATTCGGGGAAACGTAGAAAGCGGCAGACGTCGTCTTTATCTAACTTCCTGTTAGAGATCACTCTCCCGTTAATTGATTCAAGGTAAGAAAATCATGATAAAATTGTTACTGATCCGCAGATTTTTATCATATGAAATGTGTGTTAGCCGATTTTTATCATATCATATGTGTGTTAGCCAATTTTTGTGCCCCCACTTTAGTGGCGGGCATTTAGATTTACCCTTGTCCGTCCTTCTGTCCATCCGTTCTCTTTTGCTTTTGTGTCGTACGTAACTCAAAAATTGTTTGACCTAGAGTCATGAAACTTAACAGGAATGTTGATCAGCATGTGCAGTTGTGCACCTGGGTATTTTCGTGTGGATTTATTTAGTAATTTTAGAGTTATTGTCCTTGACTTAGAAAATTTTTGCAATTTTCAACTTGTGTCGCATGTAACTCAAAAAGGATTTGACATAGAGTCATTAAACCTTACGGGAAGGTTGCTCAGCATATGTAGTTGTGCACCTGGGGTTTCACTTGTGGATTTATCCAGTATTTGTAGACTTATTTCCCTTGACTTAGTAAAAACCTTTTCATTATGTTGTTACTTGTTCCTTGAGTGCTTGAGTTAGAATCAACCAACTTTACAGGAATAATGATCAACATCACTAAATTACAGTAATAATGATTCACATCACTGTGAAGCTATGCACCTGGGACTTTGCATGTGGATTTTTTTTCAGTTTTGTTAGTGTAATTGCCCTTGACTTACAGTAGTATAAATTTGCAATTTTCATGCATAGCTCAAAAAGTATTTCACTTGTAGGCTTGAAAGTTTACAAGAATGTTGGTTAGTATGTGTACTTATGCACCTTGGGGTTTGCTTGTGGATTTATTCATTATTTGTAAAGTTCTTGCCCTTTACTTAGTAAAAGATTTTTAGTTTTCAAAAAATATTTGACCTAGGGTCATCAGATTGACAGAATAGTGGTGCAGTGGGGGCACCCGTGTCCTATGGACACATTTCTAGTTATCATTATGAAATGTGTTTTAGCTGATTTTTATCATATTAGATGTGTGTTGGCAGATTTTTATCATATTAGATGTGTGTTGGCAGATTTTTATCATATTAAATGTGTGTTGGCAGGTTTTTATCGTATGAAATGTGTGTTCCTAAAGGAACTTTCTAAATATACTGCTTTGGCATGTCAATATGTTTTGCCTACAATTTGACCTTAAATCTCAATTTATTTACAATTTATATACATGTACAAGCTTCATAAATTGTAAAGATATAATTATGTCATTGCTTCATTTCACATGCTTGCAAAGGGGTTATCTGTGAGGGTTGCTTTATATATTGCATCAACATGATTATAGGCTTCCCAGGTTAAAAGGTGTTACATACCAAATTTTACTTAGAGTTTTATGGACTTTATTTAGGTTAATTTCTCAAAAACTATAGAAGATATTCAAACTCTAATAAGCATGCAGTTCTTGTTCACTATTTAAAGTGGAACTTGTTTCTAAATGACAGATAGCCCTTCACTTTATTCATGCAGAAATGGGTTCCTGCAAAGTCCGGATAATTACTCTGTCATATAAATTACAAAAAGATCTATGTGTTATAAATGCCCTAAAGAAGGTATAAGAATATGGCGAATAAGAATATATATACGGCAGTCCAGGGCGAAAAGAAATATATATACGGCAATCGAAGGTGTATAGAAGTGTATTTATATGGCAATCGAGAGATTTATTCAAAAGCTTGGAGTTATTGCTTAGAAATGCTGTTTTTCATTTTTGGGAAGAGCTTTGAACTTCATTTATGCTTTAAATTTTCGTTTTAATGTTACAAATCATTTTATATTATTTTCAGAGTTAACTTCGATGGTGAAACTATTTCTTCCCAAGAGTTCTTGACCTACTTTATCCTTGGGGCTGGAGTTCTGAACTTTGTAAGTATTGATGCAAATTTTAAACCTTACCATGCTAAATATTTTAGATGAACTTGTCAAATCACATTAAGATTAAGTTACGATTTTAAGCATACATGTATGTCAGACACTATATCAGAAATTTACAATACTCTAATAATTGTACATTTGTATTTTGGTATAATGTTGATGATAAGAAATAAATTGTTTTTTTTGTGTTATTTTTGTAGGTCAAAGTTATTGAATGTCATAATATTTTCATCTGCTTATACTTTTACTTAACCACTTGCCCCTCTCCACTTTGGGTTCAAATCCTGCCAAGGACTTTGGGTTGTTTCATGTGAGGCAGCTATCTAGTCAGCTTATAGAACATTGATGATTCTAACTAGGTGCCTGCAGGTTCATGTGTTAAAAAAATTGCACCAAGGACTTTCTTCACTAGTAAAGCTGGAGATGTATCATATGACCTTTACAGTATTGTTGCCATGGAAAACTCAACAAACAAAATTGGTGTTTCCAAAGTTAATAAAAATTGTTCATTTGCTTATAATTTTGTAGGTCAAGGTCATAGATCCTTGTCTTTTTCTTGTAAATCATACATGATTAGTAATTTTAAGCAATGTGTACTTTGAAGTTATACATGTATATGAATTAACCCACTAACATCCCAATAATAGTCCGAATATGTGTGTTGCTTTTTTTTTTTTAAATCTTTGAATTCTAGTTTTGTATTTTTTGCTACTTTCAGGACACAATCCCAAATTTGAATTTCCTGAAAGAGAATTTTGAGATAGTTATGACAGAGAAATGCCCAGCTGGTGAAGTTCTCAGAGATGGACAGTGTAGTAAGTAAAAAGAAAACATTTTTTTATTCCGGTTTTCAATGCAAATGTATTTTTATCCTGCATCGGAAATATCATGTAAAGTAGTTTTTTCAACTCGAGTGTTGACTGCAAAACTACAGTGACTTATAAAGAAAGACTTGCAACAGTTTTGGGATCAGCCCTCAAATTATAAAAATTGATGACAATAGCTGTAAAAATATTTCATCCTAAATGTGTAATACAACAAATCATAGAGCATGCATTTCAGAGTTTAAATTGTAACTTGTTACAACATTTCAGTTGAGTGTGGACCAGGTAACTATTTCCGGTACACGGACAGCACCAACACAACTGCTATCTGCGACGACTGCCCACTTGGATCTTATCAAGACTTAAGTGGCGCGTCAAGCTGTAAACAGTGTACAACTGGACTCACAACTGAACTGAGTGGAGAATTTTCATCATCGAGCTGCAAAAGTATGTGACTATATATAAATTTTGGATTTTGTTGAAAATTGTTGGTCTTGAGTGTTTTAAATTCAGGCCTCGCAGAATTTTTCAAAATTTACTAGCCCTTCACAAAATATACTTGCCCTGCATTTTGACAGAAAAAATCATTAAAATCAAAAACTTCAATTATATGACTCAAATTTAATATCTACTGGTCTATTTCAGAAAAACTGGCTTTATTTAATTACATTTTGTTTATATTTTTCATAATTTTAATGTATAATCTTTGACATAGTCTGTATACTTATTTCATTCAAATTCTTACGGAGTCTGTATACTTATTTCAAATTCTAATGTAATCAGCGACAGAATCACCTTATGGCTAAGCTTAAAACTTTACAGAATGCAAATGTATAAAACATTAAAAATGTCGAATAATGCTGTTGTTACGGAAGGGGAATGCGTTAATCAATTCATCATACACATTTGGTAAAGTTTTATATTTAGCCATTAGGTCGATTTACGTTTTTCGTTAAACAGATATTACGAGTTTATTGTGAAGTTTAATGTAAACAAGATGAATATGGTAGTTATAATGAGGTTATTGCTTAACAGAGGGTCTTTCTACAGAGGTTGCACTGTGACTCTTGTTTCTGCTTTCCATAAAAAAAATTTAATACTGGTATAACTATTTTTTTCTTAGCAATTTTTTGGTGACTGGAATGTATTTATTTTAGTTGGAATTGCATATGAATCATGTTTATTACAATGATTTGAAGATCGATTTCAGATATTTAAGTTAAGCATTAAAACATTCATGCGGGACTGCATAGAAATGTAAAATATTGGTAAATTAGGCATACCATTTTGACTTATTTAGGGCTGTTTGACTAATTATTTTTGTAAAATGATACAAAAAGAGCTTGATTGTGAAAGGTGGATTATCGTGTCACAATGCATAGTTCTGATTGAAACAATGGACAGAAATCTGTATAAACTTTATGCCTAAATCTTGAAAAACAATATATATGTGACCAGGACCTCAAATCTCCCAATCTACCTGCTGTCTCTAAATATACTTTAAAATGTTGTTTTGTTGTTGTTGTTGTGTTTTCTCCTGTCTTTAATTTTTTGTTCTTTTTAAGAAGTTATAATGTTTTGAGTAAAATCTGACATTGATAAAGCATTTGTTTTGTTCTGTTTACAAGCATCTTGCCCAATTGGACAATACTTTGACAATGACAGGAACAATTGTCAGCTCTGCCCTATTGGCTACTACCAGGATGAAGTAGGTCAGTTCAGATGTAAAGGATGTAACGCTGGAGAGACGACAAAAGAAACTGGCGCAACTTCCAAACAACAATGTTCAGGTAAGTTATTAAACCCTTACCATCCTAAATATCTTAAGTGGACTTGCCCAACTTTCAGTTTGGACTAAACCATTTGTCATTTCTAGGGAAATTTTCAAAATATTAACAGAATGAATAGTGAACAGTGCAGACCATGGTCATACAGCTGGGATATGCCAGTTGATCTTGGTCTGTGTTCTAGGCTTTATGAGGGTCCATCCGCCCTTTCAGGCACCGAGAGTACGAGAGTATGGACTCCGTGATCTTGGCCTGCACTAGTACTATGTGTTAAAACTGTTGTGTCTGCAGGCTAAGGGTTATCCTCAATGTACTTTATACCGGGAGGGTACTTTGTACCCGGAATGTCCAGATATTCTCTTGTTTTTCCCCCCCGCATCAAAACCATTAGTATTCACTAACGATTTGGACCCAACATGACATTTTGAATGTGTGTGCAAATGCTTATCAAATGTTTACCCTTTTCATTACTGTGTAATAATTGATTAATATTGAATAAAACTTTACTGTTGTATCATTAGCAGTAATCGACCATTTACATATGTTTTTAACTTTTTACTGATTGTTTTAGAGTCATTCCCAGTGTTAAGTACATGAAAATAAGATGGCTGCCACTCATATGAGGTTATTTACAGAAATATCTTTTTAGTCCCCTACCGGTTTACCGGAGGGGACTTTAGGTTTACCCTCCGTCCGTCTGTCTGTCCGTCCGTCTGTCTGTCTGTCTGTCTGTCTGTCTGTCAGTCCGTCAGTCCACAAAACTGGATCCCGTGATAACTTGAAAAGTATAAAATATTTTTATGAAACTTGATATATGGATAGATGGCAGTATGGAGATTATGCACGTCTTTTTCATTTCTTCCTATGTTGAAAATTCTGGTTGCTATGGCAACAAATAGGCTGAAAATATGGCAAATTTTACACATAAACTGGATCCAGTGATAACGCAAAAAGTACTGGAAATATTTTTATGAAACTTGAAATATGGGTAGATGGCAGTCTGGAGATTATGCACGTCTTTTTCTTTTCTTCCTATGTTGAAAATTCTGTTTGCTATGGCAACAAATAGACTGAAAATATGGCAAATTTTACACATAAACTGGATCCAGTGTTAACGCAAAAGTAATAGAAATATTTTTATGAAACTTGTAATATGGGTAGATGGCAGTCTGGAGATTATGCACGTCTTTTTCTTTTCTTCCTATGTTGAAAATTCTGGTTGCTATGGCAACAAATAGACTGAAAATATGGAAAATTTTACACATAAACTGAATCCAGTGATAACTCAAAAAGTACTGGAAATATTTTTATGAAACTTGACATATATGGGTTGATGGCAGTCTGGAGATTATGCATGCCTTATCTTTTCTTCCTATTTTAAAAAAAATATTGGTTGCCTTGGCAACAAATAGGCTTAAAACATGGCAAATATAACAATTTTTGTGATTAAGTCAAAAAGAGCTGAAAATTTTTATGAAATTGCATCTTTAATTCAAGTTATCTCCTCTTTAAGAATTTTGCTTTTAAAAATGTTATATTTTGGTAACAGGGATGTTTCAAATATTAACTTTAGAGTGTCCTTCAGTCCGTCTGTGTATCTGTTCATAAAAACTGTTTCCTGTAATCACTCTTAAAGAACTTTTCCAACAAATTTACCTGAAATAGAGAAAAATAAATTGAAACATTAGTGAATGGCCAATGGCCCTTCAGAATGTTGATGGGGTTCTAACCGGTAGGGGATTGCTTGGAATACTATGATAATTGCTTGTTGATTTAGAGTTAAAATTTCTTTTGGAAAATCATTAATTTTGTTGAAAAATGGTAGTTTTAACTATTTTATCCTAGACTTTTTCAGTATTATATGATGGTGGGCCTGGTAAGGTTTACATTCCTGGTAGATAGTACAACCAGGATTATATATTTCAAGCTGCTAAAGTATTGCAGTTAACAGTCAAATTGCTATTTTATGATTTGGTCTGGTATACTTCAAAACAGGTGTTTAACCTTATTAAAATTTCATCATGTTACTTAGAAAAAAACCCAGAAAAAACAATTAAGCCGCGTCATGACAAAACCAACATACATGTAATGCGCTTGCGACCAGCATGCATCCAGACCAGTCTGCGCATCCGCGCTGATCAGGATCCATGCTGTTCGCTATCAGTTTCTCTAATTGCTATAGGGTTTGTAAGCGAACAGCATGGATCCTGATCAGATGTACTGTGCGGATGCGCAGGCAGGTCTGGATCCATGCTGGTCGCAAACCCATTATGTTGGTTTTGTCATTGACTTTTTAAAATATAGATCCAATGATTCTGAACCAGCGGTGAAGTGTTCCATTGATGTTATGATGCTATTTAGAGAAAGAGAGTATGATAAGCATATTTTATTACTTTGGATTAAGAAAAAAAAATTTGTCGTGTATCCATTGTACAAATACAAAAGAGGATTTCCGATTATGTATTATTTTTACAGTTTCATGTGAAAGTGGGTCAGAGTTGAATAACAATGGTGGGTGTGACCTTTGTGAGATAGGGCAATATAGAGATGCTGATCTAGGCCGAACATGTGTGGATTGTGGCAACGGATTCATAACGGCAACAAAAGGAGCAAAGAAGCTAGCTGACTGCAACATAGGTACAATTTCTATGATATTCCTCTGTAGTATATAATTGAGCCGCGTCATGACAAAACCAACATAATGGGTTTGCGTCCAGCATGGATCCAGACCAGCCTGCGCATCCGCGCAGTACATCTGATCAGGATCCATGCTGTTTGCTAATAAACCCTATATCAAGTAAAGAATCTTATAGCGAACATCATGGATCCTGATAAGACTGCACAGATGCGCAGGCTGGTCTGGATCCATGCTGTTCACAAACCCATTATGTTGGTTTTGTCGTGACACGGCTCATAAGAATTGGGAATAATGTTTTCAAGTCCATCAATCTTTCAATCTGGCCTGAGTGGTTTGTTTTAATGCAGATTGGTTCAGTGGTAAAAATAAATCATATTGAATGACAGTGTAGATTTCATACTAAATTCATTGAACTCGTTGAATAGAATCTTATTATCGGAGCATAATGTCTAGCATGTTAAAGGTCAGTTGTCTTAAAAGAAAATGTCTGAAACGGTTTTCAATGATATAGCATCTGTTGGAACTAAAAGGGATAAGCCTGTACCTCCTGTATAGAGCCTGTTCAACTTGCACATCTGTGCAGTCTGACCAGGCTCGATACTGTTGGCTGACTAGAGTCTAATTTGTATTTTGATGTATTTTGATATCCTTAAAACTGATAATGGACAGGCCCAATTTTGTTTGCTGGACAAGTCACTACAGGAACAGTAACAGGTTCGGGGATAAGACTTTAGTTCCAAAATAAGCTGGAAAGCATTGCCTATAGCATTGTCAATATGACATGACAACAGAACTGTACAATAAGCCACTGTTACAGATATCCTTGTTTAGCAAGACAGGCTATTATCAACCTCTTTGCACATTTTAAGAACAACTTAACACCTTCTTGCAATTTGTGGACACAATACCAACTATACAAAGAAGTTTTCTAGTATGATACAAATTATCACTTTAAATTGTATTTCTTACTTTTACAACAGCTGATTGCTCCGCTGGTAATTATAGAGATACAGATACAAATACATGTAAGCCTTGCCCTTTGAATACATACCAGGACAAGATACGGCAGACGACCTGTTTAAGCTGTGGTAATGAAGCAAATTGGAGAACAGCATCTACAGGATCTTCATTACAATCACAGTGCTTGTGTAAGAGAAAGATTATTAATATTCAGGAACTAGTCAAAACAATAACTTGCCAATCATGTCTTTGTAGTAGAAACTTGTTTTGCATGGCACTAAACGCTGTGCCTTTTTATCCAAACTTAATTTTATGGAATGATAAAATTCTATTTATTTTTATTTTGAAATCTCCTGAAAAAACTGCAGACAATTCCAAAGTAGGAGAAAAATTGAGATGAGTTCAAAAGTCAAAATTGAATTAGATACAAACACAGTACAGACCAAGTTTTGAAGTTAAAACAGAACAATTTTAAAGTCAAAACAAACTTTAAAGTCACTCGGCCTTTTCATTAGTTTTGGGGAAGGCACCGTAGCCCTTTTTGTGGGGAAAAAATGTGTGATTTTCACACATTTGGTGAAAATATGATATTTTCACACATTTGGGGGGAATATAATAATTTATTTTGCATATTTTCCTCCACACATTTAATGTTTACTATAGCATTAAGCTTTCTGTCCAACATAAGTTACAGGCATTTTTTTCCAGATCAATTTATTCCCACTTTATATTAACTCATATTCCCTAATTATAGAAAATCTACGTAGGTCATATGAGGGTTCTTTGTTTGATTCAGAGGGTACAATATTATCAGTTCCCACTGTATTACTGGCACTGTTGTGCTAGGCTGGCTATTTCAAACAGTTGGGCATGTTGTGCTACTTGGACACATGGGCTTGCTAGGGTTTACATGTCTTGGATTCTCTTGCACTTACAAGGGCATCAATTCCTCAAATTTTTAATAAACAATTACAAACGTATCTCAATTGTATTTTCTTCATGTTCTGTGACATTGTTAACATAATTAGCCACATAGATAATCAGTTGCTGAATTGTCGTAAAAAAATTACATGTGCTCTTAAAAATAAGACAGCAGGGTTTTCCCATGCTATTTTTAGAAAGTTGTAAACTCAGACTGACGCTGTTGGTTATCATCAATTTTATGAAATCAATGTATCCCTCTAGTTGGTAATTGAATTATTGACTTTCATTTCATCTCTTTTTAAACAAGAAAGTTTTATTCTTTGATTTTTCTTTTCTTTAAAAGGGGAAATATTGGTAAAAAGGGGAATTTTAGACTGCTTTTTTTTTTTGAAAAAAGGTACTAGTAATTCGGCTTGGGAAAGTAGCCGGATACCGGCTACAGCAAGGAAGGGTAAAAAGGCCCCGAGTCAAAATGAGTTCAGTAGTTAAAACAGAACAAGCTTCATAGCCAAAACAGAACAAGTTTTAAAGCCAAAATTGAGCTGATTTTGTAGCCAAAACAGAACATGTTTAAAAGCTTACATGGAAGCCAAACTGGAGCATGCTCCAAAACTAAAAACAAAGCAAGCCCATTGCAATAACTGACTAAGCTTAACACACAATAATTTTCCTATTAGATAAAATGACTGTTAGCAATTGACTTTAATTATTGTAATAACCTATTATTATCTGATTACCATTTATACGTAGACTGAAGCATGCCTTAAACACTGGAGCTTTTGTTAGCTCCCTTTTTCATAATTGAGAAAAGCTGTTGTTGTTGTTGTTTTTTTTGTTTTTGTTTTTTTTTATATAGAGCTGTCTTACTCAAAGGCCTTCATGCCCGAGAGTATTTAATATTACTCTGGGGCCTTCTTTTTCTAGATTCTTTTTGATCTGGAGTCTTTTAACTCGAGAGCCTTTTTTCTCTATAGTTTTTTTAATCTGGAACCTTTATTGTCTGAAGCCTTTTTGTTCTATAGTCTTTTTCTCCTTTGACTAGAATCTTTAAGAAACCAATTTAAGCATTTTTTTACTTTCTAGATAATTGCTCTTTTTTTATCACAATTTATTGCACATTTCTACATTTGTATTTTCTTTTCAGATTATTGTGCATCTGGATTTGAAGTAAATGTGGACACAGGGAGTTCCTGTGATATCTGCCCAGTTGAAGAGTACAAGGACAATAGTGTAGATCCACAAGGACCATGTGTCACCTGTCCCGGCAATAAAGTATCACCTACTCCAGGAGCCAAATCCTCTGCTGAATGTACCATTTGTAAGTTGCTTTAATTTGAAAATGTTTTGCGTTTATCTTGTGGCTTCAATTTGGTAATATAATTGTTCTTCATGGCCAGGTTGTTGACTTCATTCAAATTGTTTTTCATGTGCCACTTCGGGTTTGCATTCTGTAATCAAAATGAGATATTTCATGCCAGAAAGCTATCAAACTGTGTAACTGGTTGCTGTCATTGGCCAGTGGTTCTTTTTAAGAGCCAATGGTTCTTTTCAAGGGCCGACATGTACTTTAGGTCTTTTTTGACCATCACAGCTTCACAATAGCCATGATACTGTATTATGATTATAAAGTACTTATACCTGCAGGCATGATATTCTGCAATTTTTGCTACAGCACATAGGTCTTAAACCACTTAGTAGTTCATTTCTGCAGCAACATTAACATATTAATGACGTCTTGCAGTTCACCATCCAATTTGCTTAAAGCGGTAGAGAATATAACAGAAAAACTACTGTCTTACTAATATTTCTAAATCCATCTTCAAAAACATTGTATAGTTGAAAGAAATCCAAATTACAAATCAAAATGGTCATATTTTAACATTATTACTCTGAACACAAACAGTTCCCTTCTTCCACCAACGGGAAACACCTTCTTTTATTATATACGGAATTCTTTCATCTGGGTTTTTTTCTAGTACCATATGGTTGTACAGGACAATATCACGACCTGTGATCTGGAACAAATGACATCCTGGATTGTATGAAATATAGAGGATAACGAATAAATGCTTTTGTTTTGATATTTGTAGTAACTTTGGCACTTAAATTATAATTGATTATTTATATTTAATCTTCAAGTTCTGTATTATCTGCAGAAATACTAGATGCAAAAATAAGTACTTACAATGTACAGTCAACCCTGTGTGAAAGACCACCTCTTAATAAAGATCACCCTGTAAATAAAGGCTACTCTGACAACTGTTCATTGATTAACCCTTTAAGTGCTGGACCCGACAATGTTAAGCCTTTGCCACCAGTATAGAGCCAGGCCAGCCTGCACATCGGTGCAGTCTGACCAGGCTCTATACTGTTGGCTGACAAATTTTAAATATTCAAATTGATATCCCTAAAATTGATAATGGACCGTCCCAAAAATGGAAGTGGGACAAGTCAATTTAAAATATTCAGCATGTTCAGGGTTAAATAAAACCTCCAAGTAAAGACCACTTATCTATAAAGGCCATTTTTGATCTCTCCTTTAGATGACCTTTGTTCACAGGCTTGACTTATATGGTACCAAATCTGTTTCAGTATTCTTAAATCTAATCAACAATATAGAAATAATGGTATATTAAGGTTATCTTCAATTTGGTGGTCAGTATTAACAGGATCCTTATGCTACTGTATTTGTGACAATAAAAATGTTTTTTACAAACAAACAAGTATTTCTATTTTCTTGTCTGTAATGTAACTTTTTGCAGACAAAGGTCAGGTTTGTTACGCTGCAAATTCTGCAAACAAAATTGGTGTTACAAAATAATGTACTGTAAAGATGTTCTTAAAAAACAATTATTTTCAATTACACATTTATAATGTTATAATGTTATTTTTGCAGACAAATGCCAGCCTGGTTACGCAGCGAATGCTGCGAACAATGGGTGTGACAACTGTACTTTTGGTTATTACCAAGATGAGAAATATAGCACCCAGTGTAAGCAGTGCCAAGCTTCTTACAGTACAAGACAGGAAGCATCTACGTCTTCGAATGATTGTGAAAGTAAGTGAATATTAAATGAGACCACACATAGAAAATTTCTATATCTCATATTGTGACAAGGATAGCACAAAATATGGTTTTCAATTTAATTCTGGGCATATTTTGAATTATTTTTTTGCAAATCTTTCTGTTTTAAGTGTCTATTAAGAAATTCAAATTTTACGTTTTAAGGCTTAAGGCCTCAGTGGAGCCCCTTTTAAGTCCAATTAAACTGTATATTTGTCAGTGCCTTAACATACACTAATCATTTTGATAATATATAAAAATAAATCTTAAAAAATATGCTGTTTTGACAAAGAGATATTTAAATGCCATGTTCTATTCATTTCTTTTTTCAGTGTATTGCCCCTCTGGTCAGGAAATGATTAGTGGTTCTTGTAGGTCATGCAAAGTAGGTTTCTACAAAAATAACAACGATGGAGTGTTTGAAGCATGTAAACAGTGTGAAAAGCCTTTTAAAACCACAGCTGTTTTTGGGGATCAACAGCCCAAATCGGGCCTTTGAAAACTTTCATGGGGGTTTTTTCCCCCTTTTTTTTACCATGCTAGGGGGGAATTTTTTAAAAGGCATAATGAATGTTTGGGGGGTTTGTTTTGTGTTTGGGTTTTGTAAAGATACTGACACCCAAGGGGACTTTCCCCCCACTCCCGGGTGTGTTAAAATATTTGGTCACAGACTTTTCTTTTTAATATGGGGAGAAGCAAAACCAGCTTTGTTTAAAAGGAAACCCTTCGGGTTTATTACTCCGGACCCCTGTTTGTCCCTGAAAAAAAATGCTTTGGGGGGGGAATGGGGATTTCCCTTTCAAAAGGTAAAGGCGGGAAAATAGCGGGGAATGTGGGCCATAATCACATTTCTGTTTTAAACCCAAAAAATATAAAAAAAAAAGTGAAGCTTGGAGCAGAAGATTTTTATGTAGTAATTTCCCAACAAAGGGAAGGGTACTCCCAAAAATATGCAAATTGTTGTGCATTCGGAATGTTTTGAAAATATATTTCATTGCCAAAACCAATTTGATATTTCCAAATTTTAAATGTAATGTAATCTAAAGGCGATGAAGAACTTCTTAACAAATTCAGCATGACGAGGGTTAAATGGTTGATTCTCAAGGTCACAAGTTCAAATGCTGGGAGTAATGTTCTTAAGGTTTCTCTAACTTGTACATGTACATAACTTTATGTTATCTTAAAAAATTAATCATGACAGGTTACAGTGATGTTTTATTTGAATTGGTAAATAAATGTCTCATTCTGAACAAGTAAGTATATTTTGTTAGGAAAATGGCCAAACAAAGAATATATTTGATTCTTTTTCATTTGGAACATGTCCAAACCAAAAAAAATATATTTATAATTTGTTATTTTATTAGGGACATGCCCAGCTGGAACAAAGATTGATGATACGGATACTGGATGTGACCCATGTCCAAGAGGAACGTACCAACCAGATGCTTACCAAAAGGATTGTCTACCATGTGACTCAGGCACAAGTACAAGAATGGTTAATTCCACGAGAAAATCTGACTGTGAAAGTGAGTTAGAACATTAATCAGATTATTATTTTATGATTTTATTTCAAATTAGAGTTCTTTGGAGAGGAAGGCTTTTTACTGTACATATATTTTTATTCCCTTTTTGTATCTTCAAGCTCACTGTTAAAATGACAAGGGTCACAAAAGATTTTTTTTTTAAACTTTACAGGAAATAGTATTTTTCAAAATGTTTGTGCCATTGATTTGTATGTGCCATTTGATTAAGGTCTGGAAAACATGTGTGCAGATAATTTGATTACTCTGTCTTTCCAGAATGGTCATTTTGCTTGTGCAAAACAACAAAAAAATGAAAAAATGTTTATTTATTAACATTTCTAACTGAAATTCATTGGGCTAAATATCAAAGCATGTATTTGTATTTTCTTTTGTATATTTTTCTGTTTTATTGTGCCTATATCTATATAGGTTATCTTATTCAGGATTTCATTTTTTTTTTAGACATTTGAACCACAATGGAGTTTTTAATTGCACCAAATTTAGATGTTGTGAAAATCTTTATCCTCATTTTTCAGCCTACTGTAACTCTGGTTTTGAGAAGATCAACGGACAATGTGTAGGATGTGAAAGAGGGTACTTTAAAGATAACAATGATGATGTGTTTTCTCCCTGCACTCTTTGTCCCGCAGAATACATTACAGCAAGTAACCAAGCCACCTCTGAAACACTCTGTGTTGTTGGTAAGTCAAATCAGGATGATATTGCCTGACTTTTAACCTTTAACCTGCTGATTTTGTGTAATGGACTACCCCGGCATTGAAATTGGAACAGTCCATTTGAAAATTTAAGGGTTTTCTTTATCAGAATGCATACATTTGGTAATTGATCTAGCACCAGTATTGAGCCTGGTCAGACTACTCAGATGTGTCAGCTAGTCTGCCTGTACATGGATTTTGGCAGGATTATACCAAATTCTACATTGTCCAGGCTCTTGTTTTACTATAGAGCACTGAGAATAGTCAAGCTTGCTGTCCTACCAACAGCTCTTGTTTTCTTCCCCTCTTTACTGTTTTTGCCATGTGGCACTGGCATTATTTTAACCATTCAAACCATTTGTCCCTCACCACTGTTGGTTCCAATCCTGATAGGGACTTTGGATGCTGTCATGTGAGGAAGCTATCCAGCTAGCTTGCTGAACGTCAGTCACTGGCTCTACTCAGGTGCTCATTTGTGCCTGGAAAGACACCTGTGAAGCTGGAAAGTCCCCATATGACCCATACTGTGTTTTTTATTGTTTCTTTTTTTTTGTTAAAAAAGAAGAAAAAAAGTTCATTACTGTTGATGAAATGTGATGATACTGAGTCCAGGGAGATAAAGAACTTTTATATTTGTGTAATTTCTTTCACAGGTAACTGCAGTGCCGGGCAATATCTACAAGGAAACAATGTTTGTGCTCCATGTCCTAAAGGTCAATATCAGCCAACGAAATGGCAAACATCTTGTATTAGCTGCGGTACAGACAAAACAACAGAGACAGATGGTGCATCACTGGAATCTGAGTGTATTGGTATGTTTTTGGGTTTCAAATTTGTTATATATGTTTAAATTTTTTTGGAAATAATCTTTAGAATTTTAATTTTAGTGGTAAAGTTTTAGATTGGGTATTTTAAGTTAAAAAAAACTCCCATGTGGGGAGTCAAAATTTTGCCCCTCTGATGTATAAATTTCCAAAAGTCATTTGTATATTTGCAAGTAGACCCCCGTTCCCCCCCTTTTTTTCGAAAAACCCCCTTGAGGGGAATGTTTGTTAAAGGTGGATCGGGGGCCCCTAACTGTGGGCATTAAGAGGCGAATTTCCCCAAAAAACCTTGCCCCAAATGGTCACAATAATTTAAAAAAATGTGTCAATACGCAAAAAAATTGGGGTGGGGTAGGTAAAGGTCAAGGTTTAATTTTAAAAAATCAAATGCCCCCAAAAAATGGTCTTCCAAAAAAAAGCTTGTCTGCACCTCAAATAAATTTTACAAGTTGGTTTGATTTTCCCCCAAAAACCCGGCCCCAAAAAGTTTCCCCAACCCCCCTCCATGAATGAAACGTTTAAACCCCAACAAGAAAATGTTGGTCCCCCGGGCCCTTCCCTTTTAAAGGTCAAACCAAAAAAAACCCGGGAAACAAAAAGGCCCTTTTTCGGCAAAATAACTATCACAAGCTGTGGAATTTCAAATTACCTAGCACATATGATTTACATCATGAGATGGCATGTCATGCTCAAGAACCATGTGGCTAAATCAAAGGTCAAGGTCTAACTGTCAGGTGAAATGCAACAAAATAGTCTCAAAGAGCTAGTCAGCACCATAACATTATCACTAGCTGGTGAAATTTCAAATAATCTGGCACAAATTTTCAACATCATGAAATGGCATGTTGCACAGAAGAATAGTTTGACTAGGTCAAAGCTCAAGTTCATATCTCAAGGTCAGATGTGACAGTGGGCTTGACATGTTACCCTCGGCATCTAGTATATTTTTACAATTGGATACAGTCACTTGTATATCTAAAAGTAGACAAAGTCACTTATAAATTTAAAAAACATCTAATAGACTGGATTTAGTGTTTAAACTAAGCAAGTTACAAAAAAAAAATGTAGGCATATACCATATATTGATGGTTGTTTTTCTTTAATCTATAGTTGAATGCAGTCCTGGCTATGAAGATATTAATGGAGTCTGCAAGGAATGTCCGAGAGGAACTTACAAGGTAGAAAGAGCTGCTGCAAAATGTAAACCTTGTGATACAGGGTTCACAACTGTAGGAACAGGGGCAACTTCGTCTAATGCATGCACATTACGTAAGATTAAGACTGCTGTATTACACAGTCTCTGCTCATTATATTAATAGATTTTGTTTGATTATTTTTAACATTTCAAAAATGTTCTGCTGAAAAAGTTCTTACACAGACATGTTTAAAGAAGGGATCATTTAAAAAATTTAATAGCCTATAATTAAATGCTGTGTGAAACAAGAAAATACAGTTAAACTTGTGTTAAGCGACCTCGCAAGGGAAACACAAAAATGCTGCTTAATACAACGGGTCTCTTGAGAAAAAGCATGAGAAAAAACAAAATTTATTCATGATATATTTCCTTTGCATCGGGAAAGTTTTTCAACTTCATTTATATATATAATAAAAACCATAGTATTGTTAAGTTTTCCTGAAATTTTAGCTGAGTATATCTAAATCTAGCACCCATATATTCAGAATTATCTATCTTTTTCAGTCAGAACTTTCTTAAAACTTGTTTTATTAACCAGGTTTTCAATTTTGAAAATCCTGGTTATTAGATTGGGGTATGGCGGGCGGATGGGCGGATGGGCGGATGGGCGGCTGGGCGGATGGGCGGGCGGGCGTCAAACGAAATTGTGTCCGCTCTGTAACTCTTCAACCCTTTGAAGAATTTTGATGAAACTTCAGACAAATGTTTTACCACATCAAGATGACGTGCAGAACGCATGTTCCGCATGGCTGGCTCCAAGGTCAAAGGTCACAGTGACATTAACATTGAAAATCCTGTCCGCTCTGTAACTCTTCAACCCTTTGAAGAAATTTTGATGAAACTTCAGACAAATGTTTACCACATCAAGATGACGTGCAGAACGCATGTTCCGCATGGCTGGCTCCAAGGTCAAGGTCACAGTGACATTAACATTGAAAATCCTGTTTACATGATTTAACTTGATTTGGCAGTCAAAGGTCATATCATCTTTTTTTAAATTATTCTCATTTTTAACCAGGTTTTCCGAAGGAAAAAACTGGTTATAAGATTAGAGGTATGTCGGCGGGCGGGCGGATAGGCGGGGGTAAACAATTTCTTCTGTGCGCAACTCCTCCTACATTTTCAATGGATTTTGACGAAACTTTCACAGAAGCTTTGTCATCAAGTGCCCTGGCGCATATTGTCGGGGTTTTATGATTGGATAATATTTGACCTAATTATGGCCCTTTGTTTTTTTTTCCTTATATTGAATATATAGTGAACAATTTCTTCTTTGCGCAACTCCTCCTACATTTCTCAACGGATTTTGACCAAACTTTCACACAAGCTTTGTAATTAAGTGCCCTTGCACATAATGTCAGGGGTTTTTGTGATTGGATAATATTTGACCTAATTATGGCCCTTTGTGTTTTTTTTTCTTATACAGAATATATAGTGAACAATTCTTCTGTGCGCAACTCCTCCTACATTTCTCAACGTATTTTGACCAAACTTTCACAGAAGCTTTGTTTATCAAGTGCCCTGGCGCATATTGTCGGGATTTTGTGATTGAATAATATTTGACCTAATTATGGCCCTTTGTTTTTTTTCCTTATACAGAATATATAATGAACAATTTCTTCTATGCTCAACTCCTACATTTCTCAATGGATTTTGTTCTAACTTTCACAGAAGCTTTTCATCAAGTGCCCTGGTTATAGTGTCGGGGTTTTGTGATTGGATAATTTTTTACCTAATTATGGCCCTTTGTTTTTTTCACCTAAACAGAATATATAGTGAACAATTCTTCTGTGTGCAATTCCTCCTACATTATTCATGATTTACGTTGCACATAGTTACATTCTTTGTTGCTTGTATTTATATTTCAACTTCAACATATTTATCTACAATGGTGATAATTGAAAACCTGGTTTCATGGCATTGCCATGTTTCTTGTTTTACTTCTTTAATTCTTAAGAGATTTACTTCATACTTCAGGTATATATATATATTCACCATCAGCCCATTCATCACATGTGATAAGGTTCATGACTCTAGCACTCATATTCCATGAATTGTTTCCCCTTCAGACTTACAATTTTCTTTAAAAGTTGTTTTGTTTCACTATAACTTCTTTATTTCTATAGGGATTTTATCTCACACTTCACATATGTACTGGTAACTTTATATGGGCAAATTGTAGTTAATACTAAATCAGCAGACTGTGGTCATGCTGAAATCAGTCTTTAGCCAGTTTAAAGTTTGAAAATAAAAGTTTGTCTGAAATCAGCAAATTAAAAATTTGAGTCCGGAGATACATGTATAATCATAGATAAAATTATATATATTTCAGCTGCTTGCCCTGCTGGCCAGTACCTTGATAAGGTATCAAACCCAATCAATCCACTGTGCAGGCCATGTGCATATGACTTTTATCAAGATGAGATTTGGCAAGACCAATGTAAGACATGCCTAGACAACAAGGTTACCCTCAGTACAGGTGCAGATGAAGCCTCAGACTGTGTTTGTAAGTTGTTGTATTCTGTTTTAACATATTTGAGGCGCGTCACAACAAAACCAACATAGTGCGTTTGCCACCAGCATGGATCCAGACCAGACTGCGCATCCGCGCAGTCACAGTCTGATCAGGATCCATGCTGTTTGCTATCAGTTTCTCTACTTGTAATAGGGATGGTTAGCGAACAGCATGGATCCTGATCAGACTGCGCTGATGCGCAGGCTGGTCTGGATCCATGCTGGTCGCAAACCCATTATGTTGGTTTTGTTGTGATGCTGCTCAATTTGTTTCTTATTTTCACATTTTTGCTGTAGTTGATGCTACTTGTTTACAAAAGTGTGCGATTAGAGTTTCCATTTTCAGCATATTGGAGAAATCATTTATTAAGAGATAAAATGATACAACCATGCCTCGTTGTTGCATGCTTTTAGATATGCATGACTCAGGAGGCCTTGTTAATATAGCTTATTGCAATAAGAGCCCTGGTATTTTCATTATCAAAATATAAGTGCCAAATGACTTGGCACTAGTTTGTTAAAAGCTTGATAAAACCAGTATCTTTATATTAAAAACAGACAACAAAACACAGAATTACTAAATCAGATGTGTACTTTTATGAAAGAATAGGACATTAGTTTCGGACTTAATCAACTCCTTGTCATATAAATCAAAATACAATTTATTTACATTTCTCTTCTTTTATAACAAATTATTTCATATTAAGGGCCACTTTCTCCATGTGATAGGCATCTAACATTCTCTAATTCCATTATTATTATGATATAAAACAATTTTTTGCCTTTTCCTGAGGGGAAAAAAGTGTTGTTATTTCTGAGGCTTTATGTACCTTTAAAGAACAAACATGATGGTATGTAAAATGTATATTATGATTGAGGCTGGGGGGTGTGGGGGGGTGGATGGTAATTTGAACTTCCCAGTAGCTTTCATGAACAGGCTAAATCAAACGAAACATTTTCAATTTTGTCATGTTGGGCGTTCTTTTGGGATTCCGTTCTTCTCTATTTTAAACTAGTATAATTATCATCATCTCTTTATAAAGGCAGGTTTTTGTCATGTTGCTATTGGTCCTTCTGTATGTCACATGGATGTATAACCCACTTTTTATTTCATTCTAATAGTGGACTGTGCGTCAGGACAAGAATATAATCGTGATACAGGTCGTTGTGAGTTTTGTCCTCGAGGATATTATAGGAACAAGAATGACCGTCTGCAGCCACAGTGTCAACTTTGCCCTATTGATAAACTTACAGCAAACGAAGGTGGTAAAGATATCTCAGAGTGCACTGTTGGTAAGTAATAATTACTGTAAATTCACTTCATTTCGAGGGCATGAAGTTTCATGGTATTGTCACAAAGAACATTTTCATGGGTACTTAAATTTGTGGACTGTTTATTTTTCAACGAGGTAAACTGTAAATAATGCGATGCAAAATAATCTGACTGCAGACAAAATGAATTTGTGTTTAATGTTAAATTTGTTGATTAACCTATCCACAAAATTTAGTGCCCAACAAATTATGATTTTGCAGCAATACATGCAAATCATTATTGTTACATGGGAAGCATTATTGTAAGCATTATTGTTACATGGGAAGCATTATTGTTACATGGGAAGCTTCATTTAAGTAAAAGAATATGAAAATTGCAAAAGCAGAAGTTAAAAAAAAAACCACTAAAATGTACCAAATTGCAAGGATACAATTTGCCGTTTTAGATGTAAATTCATGGCTGTAATGGGTCAGCGGTTAATTTTATTAACACCATATCACTTGTTCTTCTAAGGATTTATTGACACCATAATTATCACTTGTCCCTCTCTGGTTTAAATCACAAAAGGGACTTCTATTCTAGTGAGAAAAAGGGACTTCTATTCTAGTGAGAAAGCTATCTTGATAGATTACATAGTCTGTGTACTTATGTAATGATTATAACTTAGATATGTCTCAATAACCAGTACTTTTGATTAAAAGAAATTATGACTCTTATGAGAATTGAGTACTGCTCAAGCCGGTGCTAGAGGGCGTGAGGGATGTTGCACTTATTCATTATCTCTCATGTACAGACTCAATCAAATCGAGTCTGCAATTCTTATGTAATTTTGTTGTGATTAATGCCTCCGAGCGATCACTTTGTTTCCAGAATTTTGTCTAGCCATAGTTTTTAGGTGTCAGTAATCATTTTCATGGCCACTATTGTTGTTCTTGCATTTTGTCATGTTATACAAAAATTTAGGTAGTCTGTACATAAACTTGAAACTTTATTTTAAACTTGAAACTTTATTTGAGCCATGTCACGACAAAACCAACATAATGGGTTTGCGACCAGCATGGATCCAGACCAGCCTGCGCATCCGCGCATTCTGATCAGGATCTATGCTGTGCACTTTCAGTTTCTCTACTTGCAATAGGGTTTGTAAGCGAACAGCATGGATCCTGATCAGGCTGCGCTAATGCGCAGGCTGGTCTGGATCCATGCTAGTCGCAAACCCATTATGTTGGTTTTGTCGTGACACGGCTCATTTATGAAGCACTCGATCATAAAGTTGTGTTAAAGGCAATGAAACAGACAGACACATATTCAGACAAGATATACAATTATAATTGTGTTTGAGTAAAACTCTTAACCTGTTGTAACCTGAGAGTGACTCGACTCTTCCATTAGGGTACCAGGGTAGTGCCAGGTCAGCATGCACATCCCTGCAGTCTGAACAGGCTGTATACAGTTGGTAGCTGAATGATGTTGAAACCCCTTCACTTTGAATTAACTTTTCTAAATTCAAAGCTGTGCAAGATATTGTTCATATGATAAGACTTGCTAAGTAACCTTATATCTATACATGTTTATACAAAAAATGATTTAATAAATAATTTTAGGAAGTTTAATTTTAGATTTGATTTATTATATCTTATATATATATGATGATGATGATGATGATAACAATGTCTTGATTTTTTATTCATTAGCAAATTGTACAACACCCGGGGAATACAGAGATACTGCTTCAAACACATGTAAAAAATGTCCGATTGGAACATACAACTCGGAGAAATGGGTCACTTCTTGTAAAGACTGTCCATTAGGGAACTCAACGCGAGAAGTTGGAGCCACTGTGATTACAGACTGCAGATGTAAATAGATATACTAAATTTACGTATTATGCAAAAATGTTTGTGTTTATAATTATAACAAAATTGTGTTTATAATTATAACAAAACATTTAAGTTTTTGTTTTTTTTTATATTAATTGGACTGAAAAAAATATTAATTGGACTGAAAAAAATTAATTTTCTTTTGTATTTTTGTTTTATTTGGTTTTTTTTCCGTTTTTTTTTTTTTGGTATAAAGAAAAGCTAATGTATTATACTATACTTTTCACTAAAAAGGATTATTCTTTACATATTCTTATCTTAAATACAGATTATGCTTTTAGTTTTTTATGACTACAGAGAAACCACTTATTTAATGCATTTTAGCAATATGTCCACTCGGACAGTACGTTGGCCCAAGCAATGCATGTGAACTATGTCCAAAAGGAACTTACAGGAGTAGCGCAGCCACTGACCAGTGCACAGATTGTCCTAATGGCCTTACAACAGAAGAGGAAGGGGCTGATAGTTCATCTAAATGCAGAATCAGTAAGTGTTGAAATTTGTTATGGTCGAGTACACAGGTATGTTCTTAACTATAACCCACTGACAGAAGGGTCAGGTAATCGATTTTTGGCTGTATAATCTAGAGTTGTTTGGGCTTGTTAGCAGGAAGTCTAGTGTTTGAATCCCAGCCAAAACAGACTCTTGACTCATATTACAAACCATAAAACCTTGAGTCTACAAATCATAAAATTTCTGAAATTAAGTGAACAGATCCTAATTGAAAAGTTTATAAGTCAATTTAAACTGAATTTAATTGCAGGAAAACGCTAATTTTCTAATAAAACTGTTATTAATCCACATTTTAGGTCCATGTTTTGCTGGATCAAAATATGTTAATAACCAAAGATGTGTTGAATGTGAAGAAGGCACATACCAGCCGAACAACGGAAGTTTCCAGTGCATTGATTGTCCGTTTTCAATCAAATACACCCCAACAACTGGTGCTATATCTGAGGACCAATGCAGAAGTAAGTCAGACATTTTGTTACACAAGTTAGCCTTGTTATTTACTTTTGATTATTTCCTATGTCAAAATGGTGTCATATTGCCAAAAGGTATTATTATAATTTTTTAAACTTTGGTTTAAGAAGTACAATATGATTCATCACATTCAGGGTTTGTTCATTCTAGATATAATGTAAATTATCGATTTTTATTAGTGTGCTTCCAAACATTTTGCATGTTTTAGGTAACACATGACTGAAATTACTATTTTTATCATCAAATTTCTACACCAGAATCTGTCAAATTAAGTAAGCTCTTAAATAATGCTTAGCATAAGGGAACATTTAGCAGTCATTAACACTATCGGATGAAGGACTTGTTTTCATGCATAATAAGTGATTTTTGCCATAGATAGTGACCGTCTCCTAAAAATTGCAATATTTGTTAATTAACCCATTACTTCATGAGCATTTTGTGAAAAATGGCTGTTTTCATTGAAAAGTCTCCCGTTACAAGTTCAAATTGCTATAATACTATAAAACTGCTTCAACACTAATCAAACTTGGCACAAATGTTGACTGGACCATTGCCCTTGCAACAGCATGCTCAGGCTTAAATTTTCTGTTACCATGGCAACGAGGGGACATCTATAAATTGCCAAAAATCACTATTTTGCGTTGATTTTTTCCATCAAAATTGATTTCAAAGTGCTGCAACTTCTCAATGGATTGAGATAGAGTCAAATGCTTTTCAGTGTTGGTTACACGTTACCTTATGATCAATCTGTGGTCATTTACAGCCTCTCACAAGTCCAAAATTTTCTTGGCGATGAGGGGGACTCCGCCCCCCTTCAAACCACACAAACAGAAGGGGGCACATCCCCCTTCTGGCAACCCCCTGATGTATCTTTTTGTTGGGGGACCGCGCCGAAAAAGAGGTCACTTTTTTAACAACATTTCTCAAACAAAAACAAGTGTTAGTGGCCTAAATAAGGCATTTTTTCATCATTTGAGACAACAAAAAAAGGGGGGGTGAAAAAGGCGTTAAAAGGCGTGGATATGAAGTAATGGGTTAAACAATAGTTTTAATATTTTTTACACTATAATTTATCACAAATCTGGATGTGTGCAGCTTTAAAGGAACTATTGTATTTTTTCAGGTCCTTGTGAAGCCGGTAAACAGTTTGATCCAGCAACGAAGATTTGTTTCCCTTGTCCAACTGGTACATTCCAGCCACAGGCATTCCAGTTTACCTGCTTGCAGTGTCCAGAAGGCAGAAAGTTCACATCTAAAACAGGCTCAACTACCATTGAATCATGTCTTAGTATGTAGTACCTTTGGTCATGTATTTTATAAAAGTATGGGTCAGTGAAAAATTAACGCAGTTTTGTGTTCAGTCGTTACTATCAAGCAAAAACTATGTATAGTTTGCTTCAGTAGATATTTTGAACAGATAATGAAATGCCATGGTCATCTGTTCATCGGTTAGCACATTCCTGTGTGCTTTGTATTGTTGAACCAATCGAAGATAATTAGAATTACCTCGCGAAAAAAGTGACAGTAATAAGATTTCATGTTTGCTCTCTATTGTTTTGAACCAAAGTCTTTTTTGGTGTGTTTTGTTTCGGTTTTACATCACACTAACACAGTAGAGGACATATGACAGTTTTCCATTGGAGAAGGATCTGAGGTGCCCCTTCCTGCGTTATTTCAGGCAGGAACAGGCACCTAAGTTGAACCGCTGACATTCATAATTTGGCATAAACATTTTTCACTGCTATTTCAATTTTCTTTTTATTAGTCCAAGAGTTTATTAGTCCAAGAGTTTGTTTGGATTTGTATTACTCAGAAAAGTTTGTATGCTCTGTTATTGATTATATGTAACATAATTTTGGTTACGGAAATAGTACTATAATTTTTTTTTTTTTTAATTCTATAGGTTATTGTTCAGCATCAGCTGCCAATCAATGCTCCACAAATGCCACGTGCACAGTCTCTGACACAAATGCGTTAGGCTACACGTGCAATTGCTTTACCAATTACGAGAGTGTCGGTCAGTTGAATGGACGGGAATGTGTTCGTAAGTAGAGTTGAAATTATTTCTGTACCAAATATGTTGGGGGGGGGGGTAGATTAAATTACATTTTAGCATTATTTTCTAGTTTTAAAAAGAAAATTATGGTACATTTTCTTTATGAATTTATTGATTTTTAAATATAAAGATTAGCTAATAACTTTATTTACATTAAATGTCTTAAAGAATATAATGGTCAGTCCGTGAATGTAATTTAAAACAAGTATTTGTTAGTTTAAACAAAAATTTCAATATTTAAATACCTAAAGGCACTAGGCATGTCTGAATACAGGCTTTGAGCTGACTGGCTTAGCTCTTTACATGTGTTAAATGTGATAGTGGTCAGGACCATTGCCAGTATGCAAGAACTAAAGATTTTAGCGAAAGGAGTTTCCCTTTTAGCTCCGTTACATTTATATTTTGGTCCAATTTCACATTTGTAAGTGAATTACATCATTATTTATATTATTATTACAGTAAATTGTGTTTAATGTTGTTGTTATTTTAATTATTTTTTAAAATAATAAAAACTTGGTAACATTTCAGATAAATGCGATCGTGGTTACTGTCAAAATGGCGCAACTTGCGTAAGAGAGCCGCGACCAAGCTGTACCTGTTCTAAATGGTATAAGGGAGATACCTGTGCGACCAGACTAAGTAAGAATTTTTTGGTTTTCTTTAAATTAAAATATATATATAGTTTTTCTCTTATGCAAAACTTGTGCTCTTTTGTGAAAAGTTTTTCTCAATTAGCAAGAATTATTTCAACAGAGGTTTGGTTTTGTTTGTTTTTTTTTGGTTAGAAGATGTTGTAAATAGACTTGCATGCTGCCTGTGAGTGTGTAACTATCAATTTTATATCAACAGAACAAAGGGAAGAATTCTTAGCAGTTTAGGAATAACCTATCCAACATGACCAAATCTGATTAAAAATAAAATACTTTTTTCTGAGGATGTTGTTACTAAGGTAATGTAAAAAACTTTAATATCATCTAAGTTGAGATAAGAACCTGTTCTACATGACAAAGCTAAACATATGAAGAATCACATGTTTTTCCTGTTTGTTTGATTTGCAGAAGCCGAAGAGTTGTCAGATGACACTTTGGACATTGTAATCCCCGTGTCAATTGCAGTTGGTGGACTGATTCTCTTCCTCATCATCCTAGCTGTTTGCTGTCTATGCTGGAGAAGGTAAACTAGTCTATTTTTTTAACCAGGTTTACAATTTTGAAAAAGCCTGGTTATTAGATTGGCAAATGGGGGGGGGGGGGGGGGGGGTTAGTTGTACGGTCATCAAACAGATGGTTTCCAGGGGATAACTAGTTTATAATTTGTTTGAGAGCAATGTTATTGTGGGGTTATGACATAATTATTTTGAGCTGAACTTCTTTGATACACAAGGACTTAAATAGAAATGTTTACATAAACAACATGTTTAAATTGATGATGGCAAAAAGTTACCATTTTCTGTAAATTTTCAGGAGACCCTCTACGAAGGGGCCTGAGCCTCAGTACAGTGAGTTCAACGGAGACAGGTATGATAAAGGAAGCATGCACTCATTTGCCGTGCCATACAACTCGAGACCTCCATCACGCCTGATGATGCTTCAACCAGCGCATGAGATAGTCTATGATAATAAAGCCTATAATATGACCGACAGTAAGTATACTTGCTATTATAATTATAATAAGTTTCAGTAAAACCTCGTGCTAAAGACCTCAATGTAAAAATTACAGTAAAATGAGTAAGTTTGCTCACTATCATAATTGATTAATTGATTATGATAAGTTACAGTAAAACCTCAAGCTAAAGACCTCAATGTAAAAATTACAGTAAAATGAGTAAGTTTGCTCACTATCATAATTGATTAATTGATTATGATAAGTTACAGTAAAACCTCGTGCTAAAGACCTCAATGTAAAAATTACAGTAAAATGAGTAAGTTTGCTCACTATCATAATTGATTAATTGATTATGATAAGTTACAGTAAAACCTCAAGCTAAAGACCTCATTGTAATGATTACAGTAAAGTGATTTGAGCTACAGAACTACCAATGAAAATAGTTACAGTAAAATTTCAGGGTAAAGAACACTCCTTGAAAATACACTTGCACCCGATTTTATAGCTCATGTTGACGTCCAAGGTCTGAAACAGCGTTATTAACAGATGTTCTGATATATAATGCTCATCATATGATGGGTTGCAGTAAAACTGTGTTGCATTTTAGTTTATAGTATACTTTTACATTAAAAAATGCCCATTGAAAATTTAAGGAAAAAAAAATTATTTTGTTTAAAATTGTGATCATTTTTCTTACTGTTGTTTGATTAAAGATCAAAAGACCATTTGAAAGGAAATAAAATATTTTGATTATTTTGAAAAACCAAAAGTTGTTTTAAAAGAAAATTTTATGAGGTCTGTCAAGACAGGTTTTACCATATTTCTTATACATTTTATCCTTCTCTTCCCCCCTGACTTTGCTCTACCCATCAATAGAATATTAGTCTTTTTTTCTAGTCATCTCACTTCTTTCAACTTTGGTACAATGTAGCTTAAACCTGTTCATTTTACAATATTACAGATAAAAAAAAAGGTGAAACCAAACTTTCAAGAAGTATTTATATAAATATTATGTTAAAAGTTTTAGGTTACATAATTCTTTCAAAGCCTTAGCAATTTAATACAAATTGTCCTTTACTAAGGCGAAATAATTTTTTGGAAAAGATAGTTGTTAGATATAGTATATATTAATATTTTGTTTTCAGATCACTCAGTTATTGATACGAGTATGATAGGTAGACAAATCTTTTCTGTGTAGATGTCTCTTAACTGCCTAATGTCTTTATTTTGTCTGCTTAAAAAATGTTTGTTTCTGGTCCTATTAATATACAAATACAATTATACTCTTTTGAGCCTTACCTGCTCTAAAGTCATTGTAATAAGGACACTATTAGTGGCGACCCCAAGTGGTTAGAGCATCAAACTAGAAATATAATGATTGCTGGCTGGCTGTTTGAATTCAATTATGAATCAGGGGCATACCATTGTTTCTTTTGACACCAATTTTTACGCTCTACATAGTACTGGTTAGTTCCAGAAACAGACTTCAAAATGCGTCTATAAGGTAATAGCTTCCAACACAAGCATACTAAAACAAATTCCGACACAACTGAACTGAAATAAAAAAAAATACATAAACTAATAGGGACATTTTGCACTAGCCCCAATGCCAGACCAGTCTACTTAGTCCTTAAACATAGCAATAATAGAAAATATATTTTTATTTATAATATGGGACCAGAAACAGAGATTTTGTTTTGCCTAATTATTCTTAGAATAATATTATGGCCATACCAAATTTCAACTTTGTACAATGTCTTATTTACTTTCTGAATCTCTTTGTTAACGTTTTTCGGAGTCAGGCAAATCCAACTGAACTCAAAGACTGAATTTGACCGCAAAGTTTATAAGTTTAACATCAATCAGCTTTTTAAACTGCATGCCTCCAGATGAGCCAAAATATTTCAAGAAAATCAACCTTGAAGAAATGTATTTAAAGAATAATAAAATATATTCAAAATTAAAGCAATGATTTATATGTTATGTGCAATTAATAACTGAATTTGCAGTATTTACCATCATATTAATTATTTCCAATACATGACTAATGCAGTAAAGCCTATTTTTGCATATTCTGACCTATAATTTGATAATTTTCGTAGATTGCAATGTTTAAATTACTATCAAGTTGTTCAGTTGACATTTTTTTTCTTTTCAAAACATTTTCATGAAAAATTACCTTGAATGTGGAGGCATGCAGCTTTAAGGCTGAAAAATGTAATACATCAATGCACAAGTATATTTATCCATGAATTTCGTAACAGACCCATTTTTGCTAACTAAAAAAATATGAAGCAAAAGTGTCAATTTCAAAATGTTTTCAGATATTTTTAATATAATATGCAAAAAAGAGGCATTTTACATCAATAAAATTTGGTATGGCCTAATTTCACATCCATTTCTTTTTCTTGAAGAAATTATACTTTACAAGTCTGTAAGAATGATCCTTATCAAATCTAAAAGCATGTGATTTAATAAGAAAAACATGTAAAATCATTTACACATGACATTTTTTGATGGTTTGTTTTTATTAAATTTCTCAGGAAACGGGACTTTACATATTGATATGGGTTACCATTACAGAAAATTTGTGTAAATGATTGTACAGTATATAAACATATCTTTCTCAAACATTGGGCTTATCAGTAATTGCATGAGCAATAATAAATAAAAATTAAAAAAGAAGGAATCATAAAAGAAAGGATGAAGAAATGTTAATGGCTTTCTTTCTTTTCATTTTTCATGTGTCACCTTTGTGCCCTGATCTTCACTTTAGCTATAAGTCTGTGGATAAGGTTTGCTTTTATAAGATGGTTTCAAGGGGTAAAATTGGTGATTGAGGGGGCAAGGTTGACAGTCGCAAAACTCTGGTGATACAGGCAGCAGTTATAGAGTAAAATTGATTGATCTGTAAAACTGATAAGAAAATGTGAAGGTGGATTGTGAGTTTAGAGGAAAATGTTAGGCAACTTCAATGTGAGAAACAGGTTTGATTTGGGGAGTAAAACTGGTTATTGTGAGGAAAAGATGAGGATGGGGGGAGGGGGACATCCTGAAATTAGTAATTGAAAGGAAAAGTTGTAGTTGTAGTAAAAAAAAAAAAAAAAAAAAAAGTAAGGCTGATAATTGTGAGAAAATGGTAAGTTTTTGGGATGAAAAACAGTTACTGGTGATTGGAAAAAAAGGTTAGGTTTTAGAAGTAAATTTGGTAATCCATTTGAACAGATGAAGTAAGGGGATGACCGAAATTTAACTGGTGATTGAACAGGAATTGGTGGTGGGAGAAGGTAAATGGTTCTGAATAAGAATGTGAAGGGAATGACTGTGAGGTTGAAACTAGTCATTGCTATGAAATGGGAAGATGGTAAAACTGTATGTGAATTTAATTTTTCACAATAAGCCATTTGTTGTTATATTTTATTCAGTTAAATTCATAACTATTTTACATTCGGAGATTTCAGCATTACATTTAGTTCGTTTTGAATCATTATACACTAGGTGCAATTATAAGGGAGTTGATGTAGTTAGTACATGTAGTTTATAGTTTTATTGCAACAAAGTACGAATAGGGATGTATTGAGCTGGATTTAATTGAATATCAAATAAAAAATTTAAGGGATGTATGTAACATCATACAATATTTTTAACTTACAATGTCAGTAAAATTAGTTTTGCAAGTTTAATTACACAAGTCCATTTTATTTTGAAATATCATTTGGAAAGAGTTCATTACAATGGGAATTATTCATATTTTGGACCATTTTGTTTCGTTCATGTTACATTCCCAATTATTTGTTTATACTTCAAATGATTTTTGTGAACATTTAGTGCATTTAATTTTCATTTAAGATTTTTTTTGGAAAGAGAGAAGTTACAGAGCAAATTTAGTTTACATAATTTAGAATTAAAAAGTATTTTATATTTAAATTTATACACTTAACAGGCTCCTTATTGATCAAGGTCATACCTGTGAAAAAGCAAATTTCTTCACATGACACTAGTTTCTTACTTGATGAAACCCATATTTTTTACATGATAAAACATAATGGTTTTTCATTCATCATAAATGAATGGTATTTATTTTATGATAGTATAAATCATTTGAATTTCTTTCATGATTGGAATTTCTTTCATGATAAATTATTGGTACATGTATTTCTTTCATTATATGTAATAGCAATTTCTTTCACAATAAATTATTAGTTAATAATAATCAATATTATTTTTTTCATAAATCATTGAAATTTCTTTCTTGATTAATCATTGAAATTTCTGTCATTATATAAATCAATAGTATTTCTTTAATGATAAAGCATTTGATTTTTTCCCCAACAAATCATTAAAATTTTATTAATGATAATTAATGGTATTTTTTTCATCATGATAAACATTTGATAAATCAATTTTTGTTAATCCTTACCAAGATAATAATCTTTGATATTTCAGTCATTACAAGTCATTTTCACTTGAAAAAAAATCATTTTTTTAACATGAAAAATCATTGTTAATTTTGCCATGAAAATCACTGTCATTTTGTCCATGAATCATTGTTATTCCTTTCATGATAAATCATTGTTATTCCTTTCATGATAAATCATTGTCATTTTGTCCATGATAAATCATTGTAACAGTTATCATTCTTTGATAAATCATTAATATAAGTCACTGTTGTAGAGTACATATTGAACCATTCATTTTCTATGATGATAATTTTCTGTATTTTTTTTTGCTCTTTAAAATTTCACTATAAGATCTCAGAATTAACTAATAACAGATCACATTTGTCTAAAGTTATAACTTTGAAGTAAATCATTGTTGTTGTTTTTTTCAGATGCAGCAGTGTATGAGGCATAGGTGAACTAATTGATTAACAAAAAGAGAGGTGGAGAAGTGAACAAACCTGAGATTAAACTTTTAATGTAGATACAAGTTTGTGAAGAGATTCTTATCTAATTTAATGAACTTCGTTTTCAGTTTATATATCATTGCAAAATGTACATAATGAAATGTAACAGTGCTAGAGTATGTGGTAAGAATCGGGAAAACAGTGTTTTTGTAAAAGAGAGTACATTACAAGATTTCACTTGGGAATAGAAGAAAAAGACCATAAAAAAAGGTTTAGAAAGTGGTTTCAAAATAAGAAAAAAACGAGCGGCAACTCTTTATTTTTAAAACATCATTGTCATAATGTTAGAGTTTAGTTTTATCTGAATGTTACTGATGTTTTTGTTAATGAATTTCTTTTTTATGTATATTTTTGTATTCAAAATGTTATCAATTTGTAGTTTATAGATAATTACCTGGAAAAAAAATCAAATTACATGTATTTACAAATCAAAAATGCTCATCTGGAAGGGGTAATTTGAATGTTGTTCTTAGAAGTTTTAGAAGATTATTATTAAATTTTTGTTCAATTTAATAAAATTAGAATTCTTGTTCCATGACAGTTATTATATTGTAAAGATATATTTTATAGAAAATTTTAGATATGTATGTTTGTAATACATTCTAAGAGTTGCAATTTCTCCTCCCAAGAATTCCAGCTTAGATGTGTTATATTTGTAAATAATGTTTTTATCCCCTGGGATTGGGGTAGAACCCCAAACACTCCCCTGGGGGGAATATATGCAATTTGATAATACTCAATAAAAGAGACAAATGATAAAAGTATATATAATAGATGTATATAGTTACATGTATGTATTTTTCATTTTTTTACATAAATAACCTCACTAATGCAATGATCTAGAATGATTGAAATAACATGAATGTTATTAATAATGCAATGAAAATGTTATTAATAGGATATTCAAGAATGTTATTTATAACAATAATATTGATAACAAAAATGTTATATTAATTATGTTATTAATAAAGTTGATTTTCAGTAGAAACAAAAGAATATTCAACATTTAGGAGTATTCAACATTTGAAGTGACTAGAAATTACAACAGCGTAAATTTTACAACAGCATAAATTAGGTAGACACCTAAGAACAATTATTGTCAAAACTTTATGAAATTGAAGACCAAGTGAGATAAAGATTGTGAGAAAGAGGTCATTCATGACAAATCCTTCATTTATGTATTTCATTTTAGATATATCATTTAATTTTGCTATACTTACAATTATTCATACAGCAGTCGCCTGTAACATGAACATGTCTAACTTCAAATTTATAGTCATTTTTTTTCTCCCAGTAATTTACTAAAAAGCTTAACAGTGCTTATAACAGGTAACCTGTAATTGATACAACCAGAAGTTGTGTTTCTTATCCTTATTAAAGCCAAATTCATCAAATTATATGTATTCTAAATCTTTGATATTTCAGAAATTAAATAAAATTGTAACAATTAAATATGATGAATATAATCAAATAAGATATAAAACATTTCTTAACACGATAATGTGAAACCATTGCAGGTAACACTTTGTTGTTCAAGTTCTTTTTAGATCTTGTCATGCATTTAATAAGGTTAAATCTTTCATACAACTGTATTTTTTATTATATAGAAGATATTACAGGAGTGTGGATTCAATACTGAATTATTTGAACAAGTTGAATAAAATTAAATTATGCAAGCCTCTGGCGAGCGTAATATTACTTTATTCAACGAGTTCAATAAATTCAGTGATGAACTTACATGAATTTAATATTCTATTTATCAGATACCAAAAATAAAGACCGTTTGTAGTGAAAAAGAATCATTGACGCTATAGTATAACGGTAACATTTAGCGCACCTTTATGTTATGTTTGTATAACACAATTGACTTCACTTCAAAATGTATGCTCGGCCATGCAACACCATTTTTACAGAGTCGCAAAGCGGCACGGGTATGTGATAAAAAGCATTAAGAAATTAGTACTGTTTATTCCAGATTGTCACAAACAACATGTTCCCATTTAACCTTAAATGAAATTATTTTTATTGACTCATTTTTGTAATCAAAGACTTTATACAAATACATCATTATAAAAAGATATATGCTATATACACATACTTTTGTATGAAAATAAAATTATATAACAAAAGATTTGTTTTCAAATTTTGTTTTTCTCGAGGATCTGGAAAAAAATGTGGAGTTTTTTTCCAATCTTATTCCAGGGTACAAAGAAACTGTGGGTTTGAATCCCGGCAGGGACTTTGGATTCTTTCATGTGAGGAAGCTATCCAGCTAGCTTATTGAATGTCGGTGGTTCTACTCAGGTGCCCGTTCGTGCCTGAAATAATGCTTGAAGGGCACCTGAGGCCTTCCTCCACCAGTAAAGCTGGAACGTCGCCAAATGACCTATACTGTGTCGATGTGACGTAAAACCCAAACAAACAAACAAAGAAACTGTTATAGCTTAAAAATGCACTTCTGCTCACAAAAGTGATCTACTTGTTGCTCCTATTATCAATATACTTTTCTTCCAAGTTGTAACTGTAGGAGTAAGTTTGTTATCATTAAATTGAAAAGAAACATACATTTGCTAATTTTCAGAGTACCTTCATAGTCATAATATAAGTATATACTAGTATAACATCACCCCAGGCACAACATATAAGTTATATGGTGAATTTCAAGCTTTGCTAATGGAGTGAAAAAAATGTCTGAAATGAGCTGGTGCCCAAAGTTAAACCACAAACCAAATAGCTACCTTCCCAGCAGGATTTGTGCCCACAGAAGTGAGGGACAAGTGATTTAAAATAAGCCACTTCACTATTCATCCATCTCTTTCTGCACAATTTTGTGATATTGCTTGTTGCTTAACATAAAATATCCACAATTTCTTTCAACAATATCCCATAAATTACCTTGTAAAATTTGGCCGAACCTCAAGGAATAATTCAAGAGGGCAACTCTACAATTTATATAAAAGATTCCAGTTTGATGTAGAATTACAGGAGCTAAAAGTATACTTTAGAGCAACTACTAAGTGGGGGCCATGCTTGACTTTTTCTTATTATTAAACACATCAGAGGAAGAATATTGTGGTAAAGAATTCTCCAAGAAAAACAGCATTTTCTTACACAAATTATTATAAATATAACATTTGACCTGTACATTTAAGGTCATTTACAGATTAGGGTCATACCAAGTCTTATCTTACACAACATGTCAAGTGTTGTTTTGTCCTAATGTCAATGCAACCTGCCCTTTAGAATTTATCATTGCAATTTAAGTAAAATATATAGAGGATATTTGTTTGTTCTGCATGTAAAGTTAAAATATATTTCACTTAGTAAACACCAAATGCAATATTTTCACGAGTGGCATAGCCACAAGTGAAAATAGAAAAGCAGGTGATCACGAATGAAATATATTTCAATCTTAAATAGTTCGTTACACATAAACAATAAGGGTATAATCAATTGTATTTTACTATTAACGAGTTCTTTGCGCAAATATATATTTTATTATAAACTATTAGGATCAACTAAGTGACCTTTACAAAGATTATTTAGTTTCTTTTGGTAGGGAGAGTTGGTGGGTCCATGCACGTGAAAATCGTGGATTTCATACATGTAATTTTACAACGGAAAAGAATGGTGTGATATTTACATGCTGGAGAAAGGATTAATTACATAGTTAAAGGTGACTAGTATAAATGTTTGCATGATAAGTATTGTCATAAGATAATACGTTCATTTAGAAAGAGAAAATGAACCTTGTATTGAGGCTTTGCTACTTTCCTCTAAGACATTACTTGTGTTACTAAAATAGAGAAAATAAGAATCCCTACCTAACAAGGCAAAATTGAAAATGTTGAAGGCTCGGTTTGATTGAGCCTGTTCATAGACGGTACTGTCAAGTGCAAACCACCGTCCACGCCCCCTAGCACCGGCTTTAGCAGAATTTAACATTTAAACATAAAAATGGTGTATTTTTAATTTAGATACATCAGCAGATGTGTTCATACGGTGAGTATCATGGAACCTTCAATGTGACATGTTAGTGCCATTCCATTAAAATCGGCGTATGGTTTTGACGTCTTATCTGTGATATGCAGGCTTCATAACCTCAGACCTTCCGCACATTGTTTTCTCGTTTAGTGCACATTGGAACCACCCAAGTAAAAAATATGCTGAAAAGTAAAAACTAAAAAATACCACAAACACAGCAATAATGTCGTGCTGAACGATCTTCAATGATCGGAAAAGTTAAATATAATAAGTACAATAAGTTAAACACACTGGCCATAGCTTTCGCAGAAGTGGTGGGTCCATCGCAGCGGCGTCGGAGTATAAGGTGCAGAAGCCGTGAATAAAATATGGCCGTTCTCGGTAATTTTACGACTGAATTTTACTTTTAATGTTTTACTGGCAAAACCATATCACATATGTCTTACTTGACATTAAAGAAACGTGTTTATTTTGGTATTTGAAATAATACAAAAAGATGCTGGCGTTCTGCTTAGAACTATTTACCTTCCATTGAAAATTTCATTGGTAGACTATTCTACGTAAAAAGACCTTTGTTCCAGGTTCAACAACAAACAAATAAAAGAGATACTCGTGAAGATTAACAAAACATACTTTATTATTGAATATGAAGAACAGAATGTATATCAAAATCCCCTTGATCATAATCCCCTTGGTTGAAAAATGACATAGTGATCGAAATCCCCTCAACAGAAATGACCGGGTGTTCATAATCCCCTTGATGGATAGTCAAAATCCCCTTGGCAAAAATGATGGGGTGGTCAAAATCCCCTCAACTTGTGAAAAACAACCCCCTTTACTCAATATTCTTTTTCCTTTGATCTTTTGTCACTCCAGCTAAACTATTGTGTTACATAAAGAAATGTTGCAAACAGCAGTTACATTGAGTAGAGGAAAGAGTATGGAGTATACTTTAGCAATATAATACAGGTTATCTTTAAATACTCCAATGTTGTCATTTTCATGTTAATATAAAATATAAAACCAGACATAAAATTTCACTCTTATTTATTTTCTGACAGCACATTTTACATATGTTAGCACATTCACAGAATTTACATAGCACCGACATTATTTTATTCTGATAATCTGTCCCAGAGCACCCAAGAAGTCTTCAAGGGATTTAATGCCACTTGCGTACTGTGAGCACAAAACTTTCAGTCTCTACTGGTGAGCTTTAGTGGCCTTCTTCACTCGTTTCTGTAGAAGTTCACCACGATTACATCTCAGAATTTCAGCTGCCACCATTTTTGCATCCTTTTCAACACATTGCACAACTGTCCAAAGTGAAGGATTTGAATGTCCAACAAGGTGCTTAAACCCATTGTTCCAAGATTCACACTGGTTATTTGTTCTATCCTGGTCAGTCATTGTGGCACTGTGCACATTCCAAATTGGTGGAGGAAATCTTGAAATTTAAAAAAGAACAATTTTGAAATTTACAGGATTTCTATGAGTCTTATTTATTAACTCACCTCTGTAGGCTGCAGCGATAATTTATCTGTTTCTATCTGTCCGGGTTTACCACGGTTAGCTTCAGCAGATGCTTTTATCTCACTGCGGACTTTAAGTGCCTGCATTGCAAATTTGTCAGGAGCATGACTGTGCGCGGTTTCAGATTTGACAGAAGACACCTAGAAATAGAACATAAAGTTAGCATGCTGAAATTAATATTTACCTATTATAATTCAGATTTATGCATACTTTTATTATGATGTGCTTTATGTCTCCATTAATATTTTCATGTAATCTCTTTTGCTTTACTTAAAAAGAGTGCTATACAAAGGTTAAAAAAAATAATAAGACGAAAAAAATTAATTCAGGCATAACTTGCACAATTGATACATATTAGTTTATCTCATGTTCAATGTACCAAATGATTATTATTGATTATATACTTACATGTAAATCAGTAGTCAGTGCACCTTTACAGTTCAGACCAATTCTCTGAGAGCATTCCCACCGCATTGAGGACTTATTTTCATTTTTCTTTGTGTAGGCATAACCTTCATACAGAAGCTTACGAGAACCTTTATTACTTGAATTCCATTTTGGGTATTCATGTCTATTGCAGAGAGCCATCATATTATATACCCAACAAAATAACAGTTTGCAGTTAAGTAAAACAAAGATGAAGTAATTTTAGATAGCAAACTGCAATTAATAGCCTCATTTTAAGTTATTATCTGGAAAGATCTAAAGCTAGTGTGCAACAAATTTGCCTTTAAAGGTGTTTATCATTGCAAAGATTAATTGATTGTTTGTTACATATAACTATAATTGCAATGATTAATTATAATCAACTATCATTTATTTGTTTGTATTTTACAATTTTCTCAGCAATAATAACATCAATAAAGGGTGTCATTATTAACTGGCTGTGACAAACATACACCTTTTAATTGTTTGTATGCTTTTCTCTTTTTTTTCAGCAATTCTTGAAGCAGTTGGTTCTTAAATTCATTGAACTAAAAAGAAAAATAAGAAAAGAAATTTCCCAACCATTTCACATTATTTGAGGGAATTTTGACTACCCACTGAGGGGATTATGACCACCCCTTTATTTTTGCCAAGGGGATTATGATAACCCTGTCATTTCTGTTGAGGGGATTTCGATCACTATGTCGTTTATCAACCAAGGGGATTATGATCAAGGGGATTTTGAGCGTCTCCCTGAAGAACAATCTCAGTTTAAAATGTCACTGTGTTATATTATCATACTGAGGAACACCAATTTATAAGTGTACTATAGTTTAGGGACCTTTCTGTCAGAGTTAAATCGTATACATGCACAGTACGTGTTTAGATATCCCCACTCCAGAGCATGCCTGTAGAGTGGCTCCTTTTTTCTGGGGTTTACTTAATGTGACGACAGATAAATGGACAACGATAGAAATGTCTATTCAGATGCTCATTCTCTGATTACTTTTTTTCTTGGGCTTTATATTGCGACAACAAGGGACGTGATTTTATTTTGCATGTATATAAAACCTAACATTTTGTTAAAATGAAGCTTAGTGTCAGAATTAAGTTAACAACAGTCTTTTAAGTGTCCGGGTTTTTCCTAAAGATCGCTGTGGGTTCTGATTTATTGAACACGTTTCATAAAATATTACTACTTTATTCAACCAATGACTTCAATGAATTAAGTCATAGAAAATATGAGAACAAAATATTCTGTTTATCACATTTTCAAAATAAGTATACATGTAGTTTACAGTCTAAAAATATAATGTAACGATAACATTCCATGACGTATTAACGTAGTCAGAATTAAAAATGCTCGAGAGAAAACCATTCGCCAGACTCGTTTTCAAGTTCACTTTTCTTTTTCAGATAAATTGTAAGGTCTATGTTTCTAATTTTCACTAGCTAACTTCCTCTTTAGTATTTGTAGCCAGTACAGAACCGATTTTTTTTATTTTCTTCTGCTTAAATTGTGACACTCATCGAAAAAAGGGGTTTGAAAATATGTTTGACAACCATTTTTAAATAAACCTATGTAATTTATTTATCTTCGTCCGTATCAATTACAAAACAATAAAATAACCTACTAATTATAAAACATGTCTAATTATAAATAATATTTTTATTACCCATGGTAAAGTGTTTGTTTGCTACAATTCAATAAGGGAATGCCACATTTTTCATTTAGCTTTTAAGGAATTATAAAACGGAATTATACCATAAGAGTGTGTAAACCATCAAAGATTAGATACTTGTTGCATTTAATGTTAATTAACTTCAATGTTTAAAAATATCTCACGATAAATAGCTACTCGAAATTATTTCCTTGATATTGAAAAATCTAACACATTTAATTAAATGTATCAGGTAAGGAGAGTTAGTTGTTCATGCACGTGAAAATCGAAACATTCGGTCATATAATTTTACCATGAAAAGAAAACAGAAGCCATAATATCAATCAAGCAATATACTATAGTAGGGCCGAAACGTCTCGCTGAAAAGGGCCGAAACGTCCAGGGGCCGATTTTTCTACTGGGGCCGATTTGGTTTGGGGTCGAAACGTCCTGTTTGCGTGTCCGAAGACTGACGGAAAGGGCCGAAAAGTTGCGACCCCAACATATTTATTTTAACAAAAGAACACTTAGATAAATGTATTGTTGTTTTCTATAATGAAAAGGTCAGAGTTGACCGAGGTTCGGCGAAAAAAACCGGACAATTTTCCCGCTTCACACATTACAGGTCACGTGATCATTTGAGCACAGAAAAGACCAGTTTAGGAGGGAACGTCGCACGGCGAAGAGGGCAAATGGCGTTCTCTGTTGATTTTGCAGGTGTGTTAATATTTTACAACTTTATTGTGATTTTTCAGGTATGTACAGTACTGAAAGAAGAAGAAAAAGAAGAAGAGCCTGTTTAGAAGGGAGAGTCGCATGGCGAAGATGGAAGAAATGGCGAAGATGGAAGAAGAAATGGCGTGCAGGTGTGTTGATATTTTACAACTTTATTGTGTCATTTTATTCTTTTATTAACCTATCCTATGCCTTTGTTATATGCCTGTTTAGTTTTATTTTGATGATTTGTATACATTATTGCTCCTGATAATTTAGACACCTGGCCGTTTTATTACCCTGCGCCCACATGGCTTGCTAGTAATCGTGTTGTTCGACTTCGCGCGAGATAACTTCGGCGTTTTTTGTTTATTTTATTTATGTTATTTGACAAACTCTCCCTGCACATTCTGATTATAAATACATTAGGTATTAAAAGGTATAACACAAAAAGCTTGTCTCTCAGCCGCAGGTTGGCTGTGGGTCCATACTCTCGAGGTTAAAACGTGTAAAAGGTATAAAATAATCTGGTCTCTTAGCCGCAGTTTGGCTGGGGGTCCGTACTACATGTATAAAAGATATAAAATAATCTGGTCTCTTAGCCGCAGGTTGGCTGGGAATCCGTACTACATGTATAAAAAGGTATAAAAAAAATCTGGTCTTTCAGCCGCAGTTTGGCTTGGAGTCCGTACTACATGTATAAAAAGGTATAAAATAATCTGGTCTCTTAGCGGCAGGTTGGCTGGGGGTCCATACTCTCGATGTAAAACATGTGTAAAAAGGTATAAAAAATCTGGTCTTTCAGCCGCAGTTTGGCTGGGGGTCCGTACTACATGTATAAAAAGGTATAAAATAATCTGGTCTCTTAGCCGCAGTTTGGCTGGGGGTCCGTACTACATGTATAAAAAGGTATAAAAAAATCTGGTCTCTTAGCCGCAGGTTGGCTGGGGGTGCTACTACATGTATAAAAAGGTATTAAAAAAGTCTGGTCTTTCAGCCGCAGTTTGGCTGGGGTCCGTACTACATGTATAAAAAGGTATAAAATAATCTGGTCTCTTAGCCGCAGGTTGGCTGGGGGTCCGTGCTACATGTATAAAAAGGTTTTAAAAAAATCTGGTCTTTCAGCGGCAGTTTGGCTGGGGGTCCGTACTACATGTTTAAAAAGGTATAAAATAATCTGGTCTCTTAGCCGCAGGTTTGCTGGGGGTCCGTACTACATGTATAAAAAGGTATAAAAAAAATCTGGTCTTTCAGCCGCAGTTTGGCTGGGGGTCCATACTACATGTATAAAAAGGTATAAAATAATCTGGTCTCTCAGCCGCAGGTTGGCTGTGGGTCCATACTCTCGAGGTTAAAACGTGTAAAAAGGTATAAAAAAAATCTGGTCTTACAGCCGCAGTTTGGCTGGGGGTCCGTACTACATGTATAAAAAGGTATAAAATAATCTGGTCTCTTAGCCGCAGGTTGGCTGGGGGTCCATACTCTCAACGTAAAACATGTGTAAAAAGGTATAAAAAAATCTGGTCTTTCAGCCGCAGTTTGGCTGGGGGTCCATACTACATGTATTAAAAGGTATAAAATAATCTGGTCTCTTAGCCGCAGGTTGGCTGAGGGTCCTTACTCTCAACATAAAAACATGTGTTAAAAGGTATTAAAAATCTGGTCTTTCAGCCGCACATTGGCTGGGGGTCCGTACTCCCAACTTATAACATGTAGAGAAAGGTATAAAAAGTCTGGTCTCTCAGCCGCAGGTTGGGTGGGGGTCCATACTCTCTACGTAAAATCATGTATAAAAGGTTTGAAAATAAATTTGATCTCTCAGTCACAGGTTTTACTGGAAGAAGAAGAAAAAGAAGAAGAATTAAGAACGTATTTAGGAGTGAGAGTCACATGACGAAGATGGAAGAAATGGCGTGCAGGTGTGTTGATATTTAACAACTTTATTGTGTCATTTGCATTTTTCATTAGCCTATCGTATTGAATGCCTTTGTTATTTGCCTGCTTATTTTTATTTTGATGATTTGTATGCATAATTGCTCCTGATAATTTAGACACCTGGCCGTTTTATTACCCTGCTCCCACATGACTTGCTAGTAATCGTGTTGATGATTATGGTTGATGTTGAATTTTACGGACTAGGTTGACCAGCCGCTCGACGTTACATACTTCGCGCGACATAGCATTCTTCGGCGTTTTTTGTTTAATTTTTATTGTATACTGACAAACATTCCCGCCACATTCTGATTATTAATACATGTATTTTGCGCATGTCAAACAGGTTTATTTATTATATGTAAAAGGATGTATATTGAAGAAAATGTGTATAAAAATTGGTAAAATAAATGGATATAAATTTTGCTACTGGTCGGCGCGGTGATATCTTTGTTTCACTATCAGTATTAAATGCATAATGCCGGGTATTAAATGCAAAAAAAGGAATAGAAAATATCACAAATAATAGTTTAACTGTAAACATGTCAAAGAAGTGAGTTTCAAAAATGTGTATAAGATTGTGTATAAAAATGTGTATACATAAAGAATTGGTATAAAAATTGTGTATAAAAAAAAGGTATAAAAAGTGTGTATAAAACATGGGTATAAAATTGGGTTAAAGAAAGATTAGTAAGATGTGATTTGTAAAAAATAATGTGTGTATCAAAATAACTTGTATGAATAATTTGTATGAAAAAGGTATCATAAAAGGGTATTAAATTGTATCTGGTTCCTGGTTGGCTGTTTCGCGAGAAATCCCGTTTAACATGTCAAAGGTTTTTTTTAATTAATAGTAAAAATAAAAACTTGGGTATAAAAATACTTGTATGAGAATGTGAATAAAGAATATGTAGTAAAGTTGTTTCTGGTAGGCTGTATGCTCCATAATATTCCCCATTATTTCATAAGATGATATGAATAATGTGTGGTAAAAAAAAATATCGCAAAATTATAATTTAAAAAAGGGTTTTAGGTAAAAATTGTGCATCTTTGATGTTGGTATAACATGCACATACTAACTTTCGGTTCAGAGCTCATCGTGTGTCTTTATGCAATTTCTGTTCTAGAGTTAGAAATTTTAAGCACAAAGATGGTCAATTCTAAGGGTTAACACATATGTTAACATTGGTATGATATGCTATGAATTGTCTATATAATATGAAAAGTTAAGGTGCAAAAGGTGGTAAAAATAAATGTTTTAAAAGAATTTTAAAAATATTCCAGAATGTAAACAAATGTGTTATAAAAATATGCTTGAAAAATGTGTATATAAAAAAAGGTATAAAATTAACATAAAAAAGTTATAAAAAAAGTTATAATAATACAAATAGTAATAAAAAAAATTATAAAAGAAATAATAATAAAAACATAAAAATACTAATTATAAAAAAATTATAAAAGAAATAATAATAAAAACATAAAAATACTAATTATAAAAAAAATATAAAAGAAATAATAATAAAAACATAAAAATACTAATTATAAAAAAAATTATAAAAGAAATAATAATAAAAACATAAAAATACTAATTATAAAAAAAAAATATAAGAAATAATAATAAAAACATAAAAATACTAATCATAAAAAAAAAAAAAAGAAATAATAATAAAAACATAAAAATACTAATTATAAAAAAAAAACAAATAAGAAAAACAAACAAATCACATACCAACAACATAATTAAGCTTCGTTAACTGAATGGTGGGAGAAGTGTAGCGCGTTATAATAATAATAATAATATAAAATAAAACGTCCATTCAGTCGCGCGTATAAACCGTTCGACGTATACTATGACTACACTTCTTCCAATGCTGCCTAGTTTTAATAACTAGCATGTCCCAAGCCATGATAAAAGCAGAGGGGAAGAAATGAAGTTAATAGATTTTATAGCGAAATCAACAAAAATGATCTGATCATGGTCTGCACTGTTCACTATTCAGACAGAACATAATTTTGAAACTTTCCGAAAAATAAAGTAATTAAATTGAAAGATGGATATAAGTCCATTTAACATACTAAGCCTGGTTAGGTTTATTTCTTCCAATGCTGCCTAGTTTTAATAACTAGCATGTCCCAAGCCATGATAAAAGCAGAGGGGAAGAAATGAAGTTAATAGATTTTATAGCGAAATCAACAAAAATGTTCTTATCATGGTCTGCACTGTTCACTTAATTCAGACAGAACATATTTTGAAATTTTCTGAAAAATAAAGTAATTAAATTGAAAGATGGATTTAAGTCCATTTAACACACTAAACATGGTACTGAGGTTTAACTCTTCCAATGCTGCCTAGTTTAATAACTAGCATTGTCCCAAGCCATGATAAAAGCAGAGGGGAAGAAAATTTTAATGAAGTTGATAGATTTTATAGTGATATCCACAAAAATTGTCTGATCATTGTTCACAATTCATTTAGTATATATTTTGAAATTTTCCCTAAAATGATAAGATTGAAAGATAGGCAAGTCAGTTTAATATAGCTCAAATTCAGTATCCTTTCATTATCTGTTTACATCAATTACTCATTATTCATCCCTTTCTCATAGTGGTAGAGTGTTGGCTCTCTGATTATAGTTAGAAATTGAATTGACCCTGAATTAAATCCTTTAAAAGGCATTGTTACCTTGACTAGATATTTAAGAAGAATAAATAGAGCTAATTCCTAGTTTTAAAGGGACTCCACTGAGGTTTAAAAGCCTAAAAACATAACAGTTAAATTTCTTACATAATGAGCTGGGGCACTTTAAACAGAAATATATGCAAACATAGTTAAGAAATATACTATGAAATAAATTGAAAATTGTATTTTAATGATTTTCTTAGCCCAATTTGAGTGAAAAGCATTTAAACGCTTTTAATTTTGGGTCATTTTTTACAATTTGAATAATTATTCTGGAAAAAACGTAGTGCGCAAATGATCTGAATTTTGCACAAAGATTAGTGGTCTAAACCTACATCAAATGGTAAATTTATTTGGAAAAAATATTTTCAGTCCCATCATGTCAAAATACCTCAAAGGAGTCCCTTTAACTCACTCGAGTGTTGACGTAACCACTTTTGTTAAAGTTTGCGTACCCTTTCAAATATTTTCAATGTCCATTGAAATATGGCTTTGAAACTTTGCGCACTTGTTCACCATCATGCCCCCCAACCTGTACACAGGAGGAAGTAACTCTACTCTAATGCCCCTTTTAGACTCATATTTACATTTATTATATTAATATACCAACTAATATTATTTGCCTTTTGGTGTACCACCTCAAATATTTTCATTTTCCATTGACATCTGGTTTTGAAGAGAGTTGAAATTTTAAACACTTTTTTGAGAGCATAATAGGTCAATCTCAAAGATCTATAACTTTCATATGGATCTGAAAAATTTGTTTGCCCCAATTGAACATAGTCAAAGAGCCTTGATAATGTAAAATTTTCTATCAAGCACTAAAAAAAGTATAGCGTTCTTTATTTCCTTTTAACTTTTTGTTTTTAGATATTTTTCAACTAAGCGGATTTCAGTGTGTTCTTTACACAAGGCTTTTTGAGAACATTAAGTTTAACAAAAGACTGAGTTTAAGTCAAAACAGTCAAGCTCATAACCAAATAAATAGCAATCAAAGAAAAAAAAAAGGAAATATACAAATGAGCAAGGTGGGGATTTTGTTTGTAATGCACTCTGATTGTAACAACAAGAAACACTTTGCATCCAGATAGTTTAATGGTAGAACAGCTGTTACTTTGTAACAGAATGCCTGGGTTCAAATCCCAGTTTGGATTTAATTGTTTTGTTGTTTACAATGTGTAATTATTTCATCAAATGCAATGGTTTAAAAATTATTTTCATAAATTCGATTTTTTGAGAAAAAAAAAATGAAAATAAAGGTATTGTTACAGCCATGTTGAAGTTGTCATTGCCCTCTGCAAACCTTGAGCATAATTTTTCTAAGTTGTAGGTGTTTTTGACATTCAAAGTCAATTGTCCAAATTTTGCTCTTTTTTTGCTATTAGTGGCTATATACATTTGTTATTTTTGAATAAATTGTCTTCAAATTTGAGCATAATAATCTTTAAGGATAGCCCTACAAGTTTCCAAACAGACCTTGAACTTGACTCATGACTGACCTTGAGATTTACCCTTGTCTGTGTGTCCATCCGTTCTCTTTTGTGTCGCACGTAACTCAAAAAGTATTTGACATAGAGTCATGAAACTTTACAGGAATGTTGATCAGCTGTTGAATTAGTAAAATTTTGCAATTTTCAACTTGTGTTGCATGTTTATCAAAAATAATTTGACATACCGATGGCTGAACGCAACACTGGTCTAACTTGATTTTTACAAAATTTCAAGGAGGCTATAAAAACTTCATTAATTCTATAAATTGGACATTTTTGTTATTTTTTTTAGATTTTTATATCCATATAAGTTAGAATTTTATTTAAAAGGAGTTTCAAAAATTAATATTGGTAAATAAAAAAGATATTTGAAAAATTATGAGTTAGATCAGTTTTCCATCTATAAATCACCAAATTTCAATGATAAATTTTCTGCAAAACTGGTCTAACTTGACTTAGCCCTATGTTGCATTTACAAAATGGGTTCAGTGAGGCTAAAAGAATAATCAATAAGTGCTATGTTTGAAAAAATAGGATAATATAATGGAAAAAAGCTATAACTTTAACCATATTTTTAAAAGAAAACAACTATTCTACGGAAACCGACATTTTAATTTACAAAAAATTGACAATTATTAATTTTGCATAACATACTAGAAATCTTAAAAGTCAGTTGTTTTATCACATAAAATTATTTTAAAAAAAATCTAATTATAAAGTTTCAGTTCGGAATGAATGTTTTGTAGACAAGATAAGATTTTTTTTTATATAAAGAATTATTCAATGTAACATTAAAATTGAAGCACATGTTCATAACTGAAAAATAGAAGCATGTATATAAAACTCGCAACTCTAAAAACACAGGCAATTTGATTCAAAACTAACATTATTTTTGCCTATTGAATATTCATTTATATTTTCAAGTTTATTTATGTAGACAGAATTTCAAGTAAAATGTTATTTGCATAAACAAAACTCCAAGTTGCCAAAGAAAAAACTTTTGCCTCTCTTTGTAATTTAACTTGGCATGGCACTTGTATCTATAGCTTTGTCAACCTTCCTTTGTTATCTTCCGTTATACTCAATTTTTTGTCAGATTTTTAAACATAATTTTTTCCCATATTCCTATTACAGTAATTCATTTCATTTCTCTTTTATCTATCATTATTCTTACTTTTTTTATCTAATATTTTTCCCATTTAATAAATATTTTCTATATTACATAAGCCATCATTTTAACCATTCTCCACTTGTCAGCACTCATCACCAGCATAATGATACCAAAAACCCTAATTTCACCTTCAAAATTAACAGCATTTTTATCACCATCATCATCCTTGGATCTTATATAAACAGCATTGTCTCCACTAGCCCTAATTAATCAACATTACTATTCTGAGTATACATCTCACCACTATTATCTTCCTCACCACCCATATAAGCAGCATTGTCACCAAATTAGACCTTATTACATAAATATTGTCATCAATCACACTTTTATCACCAGCATTGTCATCCTCAGCACTTACATAACCAGTATAGTCCCCACTTACTATAATATCACCAGTATTGTCCCCACTAACCTTTATAATACCAACATAGTCTCCATTATTGATAACTATAATATCACCAGCATTGTCCCAACTAACCCTTATAATACCAACATTGTCCCTTCTTACTGTAATATCACCAGCATTGTCCCCACTAACCCTTATAATACCAACATTGTCCTCACTATAAACTAAAATATCACCAGCATTGTCCCAACTAACCCTTATAATACCAACATTGTCCCTTCTTACTGTAATATCACCAGCATTGTCCCCACTAACCCTTATAATACCAACATTGTCCTCACTATAAACTATAATATCACCAGCATTGTCCCAACAACTATAATATCACCAGCATAATCCTCACTTACTATAATATAACCAATATTGTCCCCATTAACCCTCATATACCAGCATTGTCTCCACTAACTATGATATCCCCAGCATTGTCCCCACTAGTTATAATATTTCTAGCATTGTCCCAACTAACCCTCATATCACCAGCATTGTCCCCATCTACTATGATATCAC